TCTCTACTTCATAACCATCTTGCTTTTTCTAGTCTTTCCTTCATTCTTTTCCCATTCTTTCTATGTTGTCTAATCTTTTGAAAGTGGTTTATCTGATTCTCTGTAGTGTAAGATAATGAGACAGGAGTTTAAAGTTTAGGGTCAAGCCGGCTCCACCAATCAATGCTTCACATTTGTGTAGTCTTTCAAAACAATATCCACAGCATTACTCTTGTTCCTCTTGTAATAAATAGGACAAATCTAACACCTACTTTAAATGTTATATAATCTGTTATGTGTCATGTGTTCCAAGTGCATTGACGTCCATCCATCCGTGATAGATTACTTGTACATCGTGATGTGAAACTAGAACAGATGAATCTAAGGCAACCTATATAACATTGTGCATTGTGAATTGATGGCTCAAATGGACATTAGTGTTTAAAATATTTGATTGATTGAAGGGACTTTCGCTAAATCCCGCCCCCTGGACATTGTTGCGAAGGTGCCACAAAACAACGGTGTAAAAAAAAAAAAAGCAAACGTGGGTTTGTGGGACAACACATGTGTTTGGGATGTGCATATTCCTGGCCCTCTTTCTGATTGGTCAGTTCAGTTTAATTAGCACTTGGGAAAGGTCTATTTATTCAGTGCTCAACATACATACAAGATAAAACATGATTTGTGAACCAAAAACTAATGAGCAAGTGTTGATTCTTGTCAACACTTCTATTCTCAGTGTTCACTGTGTGGATGACTTGATCAAGACATAGCCAGGAGTATAATTGTATGGATATTAAAAAGAATAAATTGCTTCTAAATTGTTTATCCTTCACCGCTGATGAATAAAGTCACTCTAGGGAATATGTAGAATCGTAACTTGTGTAATTCTGAGTTCTTAGAACATATTTGGCTTTTCTTATCTTCTCGGGTTCTTGCCTTCTTACTTTCCTGCATTTTCAATTTATTTTAGATCAATTGTAATATATTTATCTGATTCAAAAATGAAGTAAATAAATGTTGAATTGAATTGAATAATATAACAAAGCAATAATAATACTTTATTATTATAATTATTGAATTAAAAAAATAATTTAACAAATCATATGATAGTAACTTTGGCATGGAGATTCACCTCCACCGGTGGTACTGTAATTATTTGCATATTACACAATACCTTTAGAAAAAAATGTGTCCTAATGGGAAAATCCAAGTTGGTATTAGTATGTACTCTAAATGGTAATCAGAAGGTCTTTGGTTCGAATCCTGATGTCGATACATTTTTCTCAAATATTTCTTATCATCTGTATAGTGGAACAAAATACATGGGAATAGAAATATTAGATTTAGGTTCCATAGGGAATAAAATGTTGATATGAACAAGTGGTCTAAGATACCACAGTGTTTAAAAAAACTACTATAATCCGGTATACTGTAGGAATATGAAATGTTAAAAAAATTGAAGGTGGGAGGGTTGAAATGGTGTTGTGCCACCTTTTTTTAAAAAAATCTATATTATTTGAGTTGTAAGTTGTACAGTATGCAGTTTTATAAATAATGTGAATGGCTTTACCTTGCCCTATGATTGACACTCAGATAATTGATTGACAATAGTATCTTCTTATCAAATTTAAATGTTTAATGAGTTGAGATATAAATCATAAGTACAATTACCTGGTCAATAATCGTTTTACCTGAGCAGGTATCGGCGACATAGTATACTTCAGTTAATTACCAGCTTCAAAGACAGCAAATACTGTACTGTATTGGAGATTACGTTGTACAGTACTGTACTGTACGACTCTATTCCATTTAAGAATAATAACAAGGCCATCTTCAAATGTGGAGTTACTGTTTATTAAGCTAAAGTTTCAGGTTAAATTTGTTTTGTTGTATAAATTTATCAATGTACTGTAAATGAAAACCGTTTTTCTGATTAGGGTATGTTATTCTGCCATGCCGTTTAGAGAACCAATTTGGCCAAATAAAATTAAATTCTAGTTTCACGTCTCCACCCTCATCAAATTTTGGAGCCTCATGAAAAAATTTACAATTTTCTATTTTTTTGAAGAAAAAAAATTCTTCTAATGACCATAAAAATAATGACTATCTGAAAGAATGATGCCAAGTCTAAAGAGAGGTGGGAACATAAATTGAAGAGATACATTACAAAGATTCATTTTGCTTCTTTTATAAAACAATTACGGTATGCTATTTTCACTATTTACTGTACCAGCCTGTTTACCATTAGTAGAGTACTGTATATAGGATAGTAAAGGCAAATAGTAAATATCCTCACCAAAGAATAATTTCAAATCCTGGACATGAAGCTTAACAATTAATTTTATTTGGCCTTATTTAAGCTTTCTTTAATCAGGGTGTAACCATTCAGTGACTAGCACTGCTTTCCAAGGAAGCCCTGGTACAAGTGTAGCAAAAATATATAGAAAATATGTTTATAAAATAATGTACAATTCAAAAGTAAAACCCTAACAAACTTGAGGTTCTAGAACAATAGCTCCAACTATTTTAATAAATTATAAAGTTAACTATGGTTTAAAATTGTTTTGAGATTAAAATTCCTTTCGTTTATGTTTTTGTTGAATCAAGACTGGGAAATGATATGGATTTATCATCAAATGACATCTGTTTTTCTGTGAATTTTTTTTACAGCTTTTGATGTTGAAATATTTATCACTGTCTCGAAGGTGATTCACTTGAACTTGCATCGTTGACATTTACTTTAAAACTGGCCAAGATACATTACTATCTTGACCTTAAAATGCGCATCTCTTTGCAATAAACTGTCGTGTTAATTTTGTACAGATACTGGTAGGGGATGGGACCTACTGTACATCTGTCTATATGATATACCAAGGCTAAATTGATTGCAAAATAACAAAATAAGAACAAACTGAGACTGGGGTAAAATGTCAGATGATGTTTTTATTAATTAAACTACTACATAACCATTAGAGAAAAGGTTCATCTGGATCTCTAGACTGTATTTTGTTAAGGATAAAACATAAGTTAACGTAATTATTCAAATCATTTTTTGGATCATCAAAAAGAAATTCTTAACAAATACTACATAACCAATTTATGTTTGAAAAGGTTTACTGTGATTTCTTTTGGGCTTATCTGTACCTGTGCAGTCTGTACTTTCCATAATACATACAGTAATACTGCACTGTATAATAATAATTTTCTATCTTTAAAAAGTGTGTAAAATAAGAACAAAATAGGAACATATTGAGCCTAAAACTGGCACAAAAAAAATAACATTGAGCCTAAGCAAAATTTGAATGGTTCATAAAAAATGTATTTGTCATACGCACCCGGCCATCTCAAATGTTGTCATATGTCGCACCATCCCTTTGTAAAGTAGGTCACTGTTTTTAATGCACACCATCCCTAAAGCTGGTTTTCCACTAGGCAAATTTATTTGCGCGAATCAAAGCGTCAGTTCGCGTCCTGAGTTCCGATTGGTTGCGCATTTTTTCGCTAGCAAAATGTGAATGCGCATGGGCATGAGACGCCGCTTTCCATTTGCGCGAATAAATTCGCCAAGTAAAAAACAGGCTTAATGCAAAATAGGTCGCCATGTTTCATGCACACCGTCCCCAATGTTGAATACATTGCCATTGTCATGTGCACCATTTCTAAAGTACCGTTGACTTTCATGGGTAAATAACCAAAGGCATGAGATATTATTACTTTAGCAAAATAGATGTGGCTCTAGTGCCTTGAATAAGCAATAAGCCATTATATGTATATTTACTATAGTCACTAAATAAGCAGCCACGCTTGCACGATGCTTACAAAAGAGTCAATTTTCATCTTTGTTGCACATTCGCAAGAGAAGTAGAATGCCCACGCTTTTGATAATCACACTTAGGTAAACAAATAAACAAAGATTTCAATGTTGCTTGTTAAGAACAGTACATTGCGAAGGTTTGCAGAGATAAGTGGTATGATTGCAAGAAATGAACATCTAGTAACTTGATTAATGCAATAAATTACACGTCATGCTTGTACTGTTGTAATATAGGACAAAGAATAGACAGCTTTTGATGAAGTTACATGTGTATTATTATGTAAGCATATGAGTAATTGTTCAAACATCTTAAATCCATGTATTTAAAACACCTGAAAGGCAGACCATCTGCCTAGTTCGCATGTACAACAGGATGATTATGACATTGGAGAATGAAGCTTAATATTTCAGATATAATTACAGTATTGTTTATTTTTAAAAACTAATTTTATTACTTTACTTTATTTTCCAAAAATGATATTGAAAAGGAAAATAGTAAAGAGGTTGATAATCAGAAAATACAGGCTCTGATGTTGCAGTGTTTCATCCTGGTAAAGCACAAGCTTTTTTATGTTTAAAATAAAATAATAATTAAATTACATATATGTTCGGTAAACGTTGTACTGTAAATCCATTAAAAATCAAGCAAGTCATTAGCCAGTACACTACTGTATTTTTTCTACCTTTCTAGTCTTTGTTAATATTTTTGTTTGCTCTTGAGTATCTCACTCACTAGCTCAACGAATCTCCTTTTATGGATGTGAAGTTGTGAAAACATCAGTCTTCAATCAGTCCTTATTAAAACAAGAACAGTTATACTAAGTCAGCAGATAACTTGCTAAACAAAATGTGCACTATCTTATTAAGTTGAAATACTGTACTTAGTAAAATCCTTGGTGTTACTTTGATGTTTAGACTGCTGTATCATTAAGCCTGGCTTTGCATAGCAACTAAGAATTGGAATTTAAATACACTATTGCATTGTAATAATTGTATTTCATCACTAGTGTCAATGTCATTTAAGAATATTAGGCACAATTTTGATGAAATTATAGGAAATGCCATTTTCTGATAAACTACAGTATCTGGTTCAATGTGCTTTACAAATAATTAAGGAAATTTTTCGTGTTTTTATTTTTTTAATATAAAACTATTGAAATTAAATCGTCCATAAACCATATATATTTGTAATTTTATCTTGTAGTTACATCTTGCAGCTTTGGCCTCCCTCAAGGGAGAGATTATTGAATTGAAACACAGACTGCAATCAACGGCAATAGAAAGAGATGGGCTTGAACGCAAATTAGCAAAAGCTCAGGTTTGTCTTTTTGTTTCAGTTTTCGTGTTGCTATCAGTATCAATAATCTTGTCAAAGACCTTAATAAAATATTTTTATTAGTTGTTACTAGAGGTTTATGGATTATCCAATACGTGCACCATTGAGAATTCATTACTTTCTTGATGCATGTTCAGTTTTATTAAAAATCTATATTCATTTTCAGTGATGATGTATTGTTGAAGATTCCATACATTTACTATTCAACATAATATTTTTGTTAAAGGAGTATGTGTAGTCACTGTTTAGCATATTATTATTGCAGTTTAAAAAATTTGGCTGATTTTAGAAGGGACTTTATACCCAGAGAAATCTTTCTGCAATCAAAAATGTAATTTTTCATCACTGCATACCTAAACCAAAGCCAATCAAATATTCAAAAATTCATTCAAATTATAGCCTGGGGTTGTTGGCCAAGGATAATTGAGCATATAGTAAATGGTAGGCTTATACCCGAGGATGTATGGTAAGTAGTCGCAAGCTATCGTATAGTTGAATGCTACAGTTCATAAAACACTTTTTAGTTTGATGCCAAGTACTCACTGTGCCCGGTGGTCGTCGGCTGACGCGATTTTGCAGGGAACGCAATGCAACGCAATGACATGCACGCAACGGATCATTTTTAATGACGATCTGTTCAGACTGCATCCTAGATTTAAAAGACGATGTCATTGAGCATTCACCGGGAGTGGAGTTGGATTCGTTGTACGACTGTCTTATGATGCACTGAGTTCCCGGGTCAACATGTTCATAATTATTCTCTCTCACTCATAAGACCTATAATGTAAAATTAATAATGATCAAGTGAATATGTTAGTAGGGTAAAGGTATTACTAGTGAATGAATAAATGCCCCAGAAAGCCATGCACTTATCAAATTCTTCCACAAGGATGAAGTAAACAGACCCCTAAGGAAACCCCCAATTCTTCCAGTGATGAACTGGGTTCTTTTAAGTCCACATAAGCCTGGTGTGTCCAATTGCAATAGAAATTTTTTTTTTTTCGGAAATTCCAAATATTGGGAAACTTTCACTGTGGACAGCGTCACACTTATATACAGTGAATACATTGTCCCTTATTTCCTTAATTCTCATGCGATGTTTATTCAATGAGCAAAGATAAAAACTGGCCGGGTTTGAACCAATGTCTTCAGCACAAGAAGCTTAAAGTCTTGGCTAAATTCTCGCTTCTTGGCCAACCGCTTGGCTAGCACAACTAAAACAGATGTTAGGGCTATAGGTTTTCAGTGCCCGTGGCCTATCTCTCCTCACTTGATTGACTAATAATATGTAATGTTTACAGCTCATTGAAATAGTAATAACAAGCTACTAATATTAATGGAAAAAAATGTTGAGTCTATTGCTCTTTTTATAAATGTATATTCATTTCTTTAAATATTTATAATATTTTTTTTTTATATTTTTTTTTTCACCGAGCTGTAAACATTACACATGTTAATAACAAGCTACAAATATTAATGAAAAAAAATTGAGTCTATTGCTCTGATTAGAAATGTATATTCATTTCTTTAAATATATATATGTATATATATTGTTTTTTTTTTGTGTTTTTTTTAAATCTTGTTTTTCACTGAGCTGTAAATATTACACATTGATATACTTCACCTTGCAATCAACTTTCAATGCGTAATTAATTGTATACATACTTCATATTTGACAGTATTATGTTTTATCCCCTTCAAAGAATATGACCTTTAACCTTCCCTAGGTAACAATGTCTGTATTTAGGCTGAGTGCACCGACTTGTAAATAAAACCAATAGTCTAACAGCCCAGCCACCTAATCAATCGTTGGAAGTGCTTGATGATGTATTTTGCATATCATTTGTCAGTTTAATCGTAGTAGATAAAATGACTTAAGCCTCTAGTGCCCTGGGGTGTCATATAGAGCTATTACAGTAAGGAGCAATCAGCAAGTTTACGCAATGAACAAGCTTTAATGATTCTAATACTTTGCTTGTGAAGTCCACTTTACAAATTTTAACACAAATGATGTTGGTCAAAAAAAAATCAGAGTACAATAATGATAACCACAAAACAGTTCAATTTGAATTTTGTATTTATTAAATCCAGATTAGAATATGAACTAGATCCAATGATTTAATATAATGTCAGCATTAACAACATATCTAGTAAGACCTATAGTGTATGCCTGTGACAAAAATAGGGAAAATTAAGACCAAATTAATAACATCAATAAGAAGAATATTCAACAACAAAAAATAATAATGTATTACAGCCTTGGCACCTAATAATCCACCCCCAATAAAAATAGTCGTAAACTAATATTTAATATACTGTACAGTGCTAATTAGAAACCCTCCATCTTATAACAAGCATATAAGATCAAATACAGAAATAATGTTAATACCTTAATATTAAATGAATTTTTAAAAAACAGTAGGCCTAAGACCTTAAGGTAATTAAACCCAAATTTGTGGCGGAAAATTACAAATTAGCAAATTCTCTGTGTATGAATTTATGACGTGTCAATGACTCCTTAAGTGAAGCAGTCTGTAACAAGTGTGTTATTTAAATATTAATGTTTAGGTTGAGCGTTCCAGGTTAATACATGAAAATGATGACCGTCTGGAACAGCAAGCTATTCGCTATGAAGAGCGAATCACCGAACTCCACAGCGTTATTGCTGAACTTAATAAGAAGATAGACAGAACACAAGGAGACACTATAAGGTATTTTACATCTTTCATTAAAAAGATCTATATGGAAATAACCTGACCTATAGTTGCTTCATTGTATTTTCTATTATAGGATAATTTCATTCACAATATTTAATTTTTAAAATTTTGTGGAACAAGGTCCGGAAGACCATTGTTTTGATTGACACCACGTTGTTTGAATACTTTAATTAAATCAATTGTAATTTAAATTTATAAAACTGAAATCTGCCACTTGTATTTCGGAAATGGTTGAAATGTCATGCTAATGTTGAAATGTAGTCATTTAAAGTACACAAATGTAATTATAATCAATAAATAGCTAAGTTAGTAAAAATTATAAATATGATTTCTAAATGTTTTGTTAATTTAATCCAGGGTCCCAAGTCTCTCTGACATCGGAACAGCCTCACGCACTCCCGCAAGAAAGCAAACACCTTTCGGAAACTAGCCCATCTTCTACAAATTCACATTTGCATATTCACATTTGCATATTTACATTTGCATATTATAACTACTGTGTTATCAACCGTCTCCTGGATTTCAGCTTGCAATGGGTATCGCCTTGCGCAGCTAAATAATTACGTGTTAAGAAATCTCATTTCACCAGATTACCTGGAAGTGGCTTTTTCTTTTAAATTCAAATCCCTGGTATATTGCTCAATATCGTACTTCTTATTCATTTTAATTTAATCAAGTCTTTTGGCCTAAGTACAAAAATTTGTATAAATTACAAAAGCAAGTTACTGTAATTAAGTGTTAAATTATTGTAAAATGCATAAAAATTGACAAATTTAATCTTTTTAAAAACCTCTATCTGAATTTGTCATTATTTAACTAAATACTGATCATAATACATATTGTTGCATAATGAAATGCATTCTCGGATTGAAGTGAATATAGAGCGTTGAAATCGCATTGTAATTGGGGCACGGTATAATCAGCTGTAACTAGACCGTTTGCGTTGGCACTATAATGACCCAAAGTGTGTTTGTTTATTACTTAAGGGATGCAGCTTTATGTCAAAGCCTAAGACTAGACAGATTGCAATAGCAAGACCCAATTTATATATGTATATTACTTTAAAGATGTAGTTTTTAAGTTGTGAAATGGATGTCATTTTCTGAATTCTGATGTCGTATGCAAAAGTAGGACATGGTGTAATTTTCATATAAACACAATGAACTAGATTTCGTTATTGCCAAACTATAGCAGATTTTACCAATTAATAACTATAATAATTGTTCATTAATCATTTGTTTTCTTGTTGGTTGTAGGGAGGAAGATGAGTTTTCACAGTCAGCATCCAGCCCACCAAGTAATATTAGTAACAGTGGAGGAAGCTGTAATGGAAGTTGCTTTCATGGTAGTGAATCCATTCAAATAGGTAATTTAAGAAATAGATACACTGAGAGATGAGGTAGAAAAAGTGAGATAGGAGGATAAACTAATAAAGAGAGAATAATGAACTGGTAGAGAAAAAATAATGAAATTATATACGCTGAGAGATGGAGAAATTGTGAGATAGGAGGATAAACTAATAGAGAGAGAAGGATGAACTGGTAGGGAAGAAAGAATGAAATGATAGAGAAAGATGAACTTGGTAGAGAGAAGAGATTGAACTGATCAAGAAAAGAGGATAAACTGGTAGAGAGAAGAGGTTGAACTGATTGAAAGAGATGGTAGATAGAGGAGAGATTACTGGTAGAAAAGAAGATAACCTGCAACAGAAAGAATATTGTGAACTCATAGAGAGATAGAAGATGAACTGGTACAATATGTAGAGAGGGAGAACTGGAAGATAGGAGAATTGAATTGATAAAAATAGGTGTTGACCTAGTAGAGAAAGAAGAGTGGTTACTGGTTGACAAAGATGAGCTTGTAGAGAGATAACTGGTAGACAGAGAAACGAGAAGAACTTCAAAAGAGAAGAAGTTGAGAAAGGATAATAAACTGGGAAATAAACGTAAGGGTAGTCTTCATAAACCATTAGTAAAGATAAATTTAAAGTAAATACTTTAAATTTAAAGTGTGTTTGCAGACAGTTTAATGTTAACAATGTAAATGTAGTAAATATTATTTATTTTTGTACATATCTGGTTATGCTAATTGAGATGATTTTCAGTAAAATGTAATTTACTTGTTTCATAATATAGTCATTCTGTTGTAATAATCTTTTATAATAGTTTTTTTGGTATTATTGGAATCTTTTTTACAGACCAGTGCAATGATTTAAACGCGGAGCTGACTCGAGTCTTTGAAGGTATTGAATGCTCAATACCGTCACGGAAGGAGCTCCATCAACATGTTACAAGTATGGAACAGCAAGCGCAACAACTGGACAGTGCAAGTAAACAATCTCAGCAGAGGGCGCTTCAGGTAACCATAGTGATCTGCAAAAGTCACAGAAAAAAATACTGAATTTCATTTCATTTGTTTCACTATAATACATCAAAAACATACAAAAGACAACAAAAACAGTGGCAGAATAAACAAAAAGCAAGCTAAATTACTGTGAACTGTTTTTCCTCCGACAAGGGTATAACAATAAAATTCAGAATATTATTATTAAATAGAAAAATATAATATAAACAAAAAGTAAAAGAAAAATAGAATTCTTTGATTACTAACTGAAAAAGCTTTGAATGAATTAAAATTTTTTTAGAATTTCTTCTTAGAAAACTAGATTGAATTACGTTATATTCACAAGGATAACGTATTAAGTGAATTGATAAATATACATTATAACATCATGTAAAAAGAAAAACAAATTTAATAAGATTTACTTGATTTTGATCAGTATCTGTATGCTATTAATATCAGTTCTATTCCCAGTAGTCTCATTCTAGTCTCATAATGAAGCTTTATGGAACATTGCTCTACATCGCTCCATTCCATAATAATAATTAAATAATATAAATGAGGTTTTTCGGTTACACTATAGAAATCCTGCTTAATGATTCAGTTTCAGCTATGCATCGAATATAAAGTATAATAATTACGATAAAAAAAGTTATGTCCCTATTCCACAAAATAATTATATAAAGTGGTGTATGTTACATGGCAAGAAAATGTTTATGTGGATATTTATGTTTGATAAAATTTATGTCATCTTTAATAATTCTTCTGGGGTAATTATGAATCTAACACCAAATATAAGATCCCTTCTAATTTATGTATTTGTTTTAATTTGGGTTTAGATCTTGATGGGTTGATATTTATTGCGTTCTTGTGTACCTGACATGTTTTCATTTTTATGCTTGCGCGGTAATATTGCCACTTGATACTTGCTATTCATCATTGGCTTTGTAATCCAGCTTCCATGTCATAATAATTCATTCTTAATCCATTAAATCCCTCAAAATCGATTTTAATCTAAAGATACAAGAGATAGTCCCTGGAACTGTCATCCAAATGAGAAATCAAACTAAAAAAATGTAATCGATTCTGAGAAAGATTATGAATTTTACATTTCTCAAATGATAATGCAAGTTATCCCACACAATTTCAAAATAATTGGGTCATGCTATGATAATCATAATGCCACACTATTTTTCATTGTAAAATACAGTTCAACTTGCCTAAGTCGATTCCAAAATGGCATTGAAAAATTGTTCGACTTTGATAAAAATTTGACTTACAGATCATTAATTAATAGAAAACACAAACAATTTGGCATGTAAAATAAGGTCGACTTAGAATTTTTTCGAGTTAGGCAAAGTTGACTTAGGCAAATTTAACTGTATACACACACAACATACAATTTACAGCATTCAAATAGTGTAGTAGTAAATCCTTGCAAAGCCTCTAGAGCTTATCCCCTGTCTCTGTACCGTGAAGTGGATGAGAGTGTTATACTCCTCCTGGGTGGGACGCTGGTCCACCACAGCGTCACAAAGTGTCTTGCTCAAGGACATAAGCGAAATGTGCACAGCAAAGGATTGAAACCCTGACCTTGAGGTTGGGAAACCAAACCACTCCCACTGCACCAAGCCGCTTCCACAAATAGTGTACAGAATGTAAACTGTATAGTTGTTGACGTTATGCCATTAGAGGCACTGTCTGTGTTTTTTCTTATTTAATTTCTTGTTTTCCTCCAGGTTATGAAGGAAGTAGAAGCCTTGAATCTGGACTCATCCAGTGATGTGGACCAAGCCTCCAAGATGCAAAGACGTCGTAGCAGCCTGGAACAGGAGCTGAGAATACTACAAGAAGAGAACGAGAACTTAAATACTTCAATATCAAGAAAAGATGATGAGATGTTGAAGATGAAAGCAAATTTAATGACTGTCCGTGAAGAAAGGGAAAAGTTTAGGAGAAAGGTAATGAATGTATTCAGATATTACGCGATCTTAGATTTAATAAACCCCACCCCCTAAAACAAAACAAAAAATATGTCATTCAGGAAGTTAAAATTTATGGTTTTAACTGTCCACACACCAATTTAGTAAGTAGTATGTTTTCAATTTTTTTAGTAATTTCATCTGGTTTTCTTGGTATGCATTAAAATGTGATTTATCATACTTGTTATAGCGCCCTCTGTGAACATATTTCAAAGAGCTTTTCAGCATTACATAATAAAGGAAAGCGAGCAAAAGGGAGTGGGATTTGTTATTGGGCCTGATACTGATGCTGTTATTTGCATAAATCGTTAAAAAGACGAAACAAATACAATGATAGATATCACTAGGTAGATAAATAGGATAATGTCAAATTTCTTTCTTAAATAATCTAATCATAAATAATGTAAAATTATTAAGTAACTATTTGTTTCCCAGGTTCGTGAAATGCAGGCTATGATATCAACATTACAAAATCAAAATGGGAACCATCGGACAGGCCACTCGTCATCGTCTGAGCATCTTGGCTCTCCTACCCAGCGCCCATCACCGGCACCATCACACACTGGTATCAACCCTAGTACAGGCGAGCTAAGCTTAACAGGTTCTGAAAGAAAGAAAGAGATGGCTGTTAGCAAAGTAGCAGAAAGAGTAAAGTTAAAACAATCCAGGTCAGCTGATCTTAAACCAGGTCATGACCCCAGGCAGGTCTTAGGTCATGAGATCTCCGCCGCTGGAGTAAGTATATAAAATGCTTCTAAAACATACATATTTTTTTTTCTTTTTTAAAATAATGTAGAAAATGCATGAAATGTGTTAATGATGTTATTTATTCTGGGCATACATATTTCCTTCTATGCCTGGTTAAAAAAAACAAGAATCCTGAGATTCCTCTACTGTGATTGGCTGTCATACTATAGATAGCATCTAGATACATCTTTTTAAAAAGAAAAAAGCAATTCAATGTATTAATTAGGATTTTTGTTATGTGTGTTGAATATTCTGTCATGAATATTATTATTTATTATATTGTGTAATATTTCTGCTCAGATTCAAAATTCCAAGCTTGCTGAGCACCTAGCTCATTCCCTCCAAGAGTGTTCCAGCCTCCAAGAGGTATTCCAAACACTCAATTCCCACGGACTCTCCATTCCTGAAAACAAAGTACGTGAATTTGAGGTTGAGATGGAACGACTCAACAGCAAGATAGAGCACCTGAAATCCCAGAATGACCTGTTGTCGTTAACCCTAGAGGAAAGCAAAGCCAACTGCGATAGGCTTAGTATGTTAGTTGGAAAGTATGAATCAAATAATACAGCATTACAAATGGCGGTGAACTACAGCGATCAGACGATAGAGGCGTTAAAAACACAGCTTGACCTGGCACAGTGCGAGCAGCAGTCTCTATTAGCAAACTGTAAAGCAGCAGGCCTTGGAGGATTAGGTGAGTGTACAGCTTATAGTGATGCATTTTTCAGGATAAGATTATATGTGTTGGTTTGATGTTTCAAAGCGATCCAAGGACTAAATATTTTATCCAATGACAATAATCTTACTACAAATTAAACATGCATTTGAAATCTAAATGATAAATGTATGGTCCAATCATAGAATTATCATTTATTCCCAATCTACATAAATTTCCCAGCACTTCCTTGATCTGACAGTTTTGTTATCCTTTGTATGCTGTTAAGTTAAAGATGTCCAAGTTGTTATAGGAAAATATTTTCCTAGTCAAATAACTTCCAGTACATATACAGTGCACATCCCCCCCCCCCAACAATACTGTTCCATTTTAAATCAAGGAAATCTGAATCTTAATTGTCTCATTGGACGTTGAGAACCTTGTTAATCCTTTGAAATGAGCATTACCTTGATAAAATAGAATTTTTGAGGGCTTGACCAGGTACTACCAAACACTGTATCTTTATTAAATAATAATAATAATGATGATAATGATAATAATAAAATCTTTCTTTTACAACAGAAGCTTGTTCACCAAGGTGGTGTTCTTCCACGAGGCCGTATATGTAACAGATTGTGAAAACTTTCACAATCAGTTCATCACTTAATAATTGGAGAATATAAATTGTTATCATTTACAGGTGAGAATTCGGAAAGCTCAGGAGATGATTCTGAGGATACAACAAGCATGTTGCGACGTGTCCATGAGAATAAGAAGATTGCTGAAAGCATGGCCAAGTCGTTGTTACAGAGGCTAGACAGAAGCTGTGGAGCTGTGCTTACGCATGTACAGGGTGCTACCCTTCAACCATGGGAAGATGTATCCTCACAAAGTCATACTAGGTAAATCAAATACCAACAAGTTTGTTGTACTTCTTCAAATCCACTTGTAAAGAAGACGAGCGGTTTAATTTAAAAGCGCCGTAACCTGAAGCCTTACATCTTCGTTTGAAACCCTCATTGCTCTTGGTTGAGTCGGTAGAACCAACCCTTCTCGGATTAAGACTATAAATTGTGGGTTCAGTATTCACAAACTAAATCATGTGCACGTTATAATACCGGGGACATCCTATGAAAAGAGCAGGGGTTTACTCTAGTGTTCTAGTGAAGCCTGTGCTGAAATAAGCCCCTTTAGAGAGTAGGAAGTTGTAGGAACGAGTTACATTCTGTAGCAATATGTGCTATATATTATTTCTTATTTTGACTAAGGTACTGTACTTCATAGGAGCCATTGTGCTTTTTATATTGAGTCATATAATGGCTAGAAAGTGGAGATTTTTTAATCCTGAAAATAAAATCCTAAAAAAAAGTATTTGAACCCAGGGTGTCCACTAACAGAGATAAAAACTTCAAGTTTTAAAGAAGAATATAGTTCCCATCTTCAGTATTACCTTTATAGAGGTTTGTATACTGACTTTAATATTAGAATATAAAAATAGTAGTCTGAAATATTGAACAGATTACCGAAGAAGGAGATTGTAGAAAACTTTTTTTATCTAAATTTATTAAGAACAGGAGAAAATATTAATTACAAGTGCAAGGAATGACACTTAAATTAGATGCTTTGTTAATAAGATGCTTGAGTACTATATTTATAATTTGGTGGTTAAGTAGCCTATAGGCCTAATCAATTCTAGATTCCTGCTCTCAAATTCTACACATTCCAGAATGTTTGTTACTTGAAAACCTAACTCTGCTCTGTTAGCCTCATACCAAGATCTTGAGGAATGTTATGTTCACAGTAAGACTGGGTTTCTGAACCCTAGGACCATGAGGTCATTTCATGGTAGTATTTCATCAATGTTTATATCTCATCAATTAGGAATATTTTATATCTTATTAATTTGTAGTATAGGTGCCTTGTAATATGTGAATATATTAATTTTGGAATGGTGTTCGTTTACATTATGTTACAAACATGACTGAGAATAGGCCCCTGGGACTGTAGGTGTTTGGATAGTTTTCCATTGTTGTTTATGGCGCCTGTGCCTTGGGTTACATATGTACTTTAAAAGCTGTGTATTAGATTCAATAGAAGTGATTAGAAAATAAATGATTGAATACAAATATATAAAAGTTAGGTTAATAGAGATTAGGTTTAGTGATACCAGCTTTATTGAAAGGTATTACAGTATTTATCAGAGATGGTTTTGAAAACCATTAATTTGTTTTTAAATTATTAGTGTTCGTTAGGCTAGAATTAAATATTTGTAGCTTGCCTTTTGATTTGCTTGTTCTATCACCAAACTGTCTCCAGTATGCAAATATTTTATTTAGATTCTATAAAAGTTATTAGAAAATAAATGATTTTTTAAAAAAAATGTATATAGTGAGGTTAATAGAGATAAAGTTTAATAATAATAATAATAATAATAATAATAATAATAATAATAATAATAATATGTCATTCTTATATAGCGCTTCATGCACAAAGCCTCTAAGTGCTTCACATATACTGATATGAGCTTTATCAAAAGGTTAACAATTGATTTAAATATAATTTATTAGTGTTCATAAGGCTAGATTTAAATATTTAAAGCTTGCCTTCTGATTCGCTTACTCCATCTATCACCAAAACTGACCACACAAAAGGAAAAGTGAAATATGTGTAATTTGACTGTTAACATCATGTAAACAGCTTCCTCAATATTGCATTAACATTAATCAATCATGTTCAGAAGGCTGCATAGATGATTGACACAAAATGTCAGCAACTGATCTACTGAGTAATCAGCCTGTCCACCTAACTAAGGCTAGGTCAAAATGCCATGTCCAATACAACTGGCCAATAAACAGACCAATCAGAATGAGACGTTGATTGACGGCCTGTATCCAGTCAAATAACACAACAAACTATCTCAAAATTCCATTTAAACAATTTGAAAGCTTATCTGTAACTGAACCGCGAATTATCTTGACATGCCAATCAATCAATCAATCATTCAATCATTCAAGCACATTAATGAAGCGAAAATAATCATGTTGTATGTATATGCAAGCTCACACCTTCTTTTGTGGTTTCGAGTCTTGGCTTTTAATTAACTTGTCTTTCAAATTTCTACAATATGAATATTTATTGAAAATATAATAATAAATTCATCAACATTTTCAGATGCATTACTTTACTATATAGATTGAATTATGATTAAAATATAAAGCCATTTTTGTAAAATGCTATAACATTTAATTAGCACTAAATATAATGCTATAATATTTAGATTTTTATTCAAGTAAACTGTTAATCCAGCGATGCGTTGGTTACAATTAATACTCGATTGAATTTCAAATTGTTCTCCTTCTTTTTTTTGCTGAAACTCAATATTTTTAGTTTTGACTTTAACATAGATAGGGACAGTGTTATGTTGTATTTGTTAATGGAATGTTATAAGCATTCACCAAAAAAATAAACATGTGAAGACAGTTTACAAGTCTACTTAAAGGTTGAAGCTTGCTCTCACAGCAGACGAACATACTTCAAGGATTTAAAATATTTATTTGTAATTCCAGCACAACAAGCTCAACAGCGAGTAGTTGCGACACAGAATTTAGTAAAGAGGATGAACAGCGGTTGAAGGATTACGTCCAACAGTTGAAGAACGACCGCGCAGCTGTCCGTCTGACTGTTATGGAACTTGAAAGTGTACATATTGATCCATTAAGCCATGATGTTGCGCCGCGACAAGACACGCAACGACTTGATTTAGAGAATGCTGTACTGATGCAAGAACTGACAGCTCTTAAGGTGAGAAGCATACTTACCTGTCTGTGTTGCATGCTTACTTAAGGATTACTTAATAGCATTGCTTAGCAACAGCTGATGTGTATTGAAAATGGGATAAATAATGTATCATCCATTAGTCCACAGTATCATTCCTCATTTTATAATCATTCGTAATCAGTTTCACCCAAACGTCTTTATCAATTCATCATACTTTTGTCATGATAATCATTTCCCTTTTCATCAATATTAATTACCTTTTTTGTAGTGATAATCTTCATCTTTATTATCATTAAATACACACCCTTTTTCATCATTATCATCAACATTTTCATTACCTTCATCATCATTATAATCATTGTTATAATCACCTTCATCATTATTTCCATCATTATCATATCATCTACACCACCAACAGCATCATCTGATGGGAAATACGCCATTATGCAGTAGGACATCATCACCATCATCATCATCGTCATCATTATCATCATCATGTTGATTATTACCTATGTTATATTAGTCTTTAGACTTATAGCCCATCACCAACAGATATTGCTATTACATTTTATTACCCATTGCATATTACAGGAGGAGCGGGCTGAACTGAAAGCACAGAATTACCTGCAAGACAAAGAACGCAAAGCACTTGAACTTAAATTAAGTTCAAGGGAGGCACAAGAAGAGGCCTACTTAGTACAAATCAACAATTTGAAATGTGAAATGAAGGAACAAATGTCACATCACAGCGGTGGTAGCGATAAGGGTGGTTTTACACGGCCGCATTATGCCAAGGTATGTCCTATGCACTATTTTTTTCTGCTGTTAATTTTCAAGTGTTGCCAAATTTGCTTGAGTTAAGCTAGGCCAAGAAGTTCATTGTACTGTGAGACTTTGAATTCCACGAAGAATTATTTTTGGCAGTTGTACTTATTATAGTTTGGGTTTCACACATCAAAATCGGCTGAGGAGATGGGACATGGCAGATACTTGACTCATCTGGTAGACATCAAATCTTATTTCGACAGTCAATTTAATCAAGTGTTACTACTGCCAATAGAAATAAGTATTTTATTACCCCATCTTCCATTTAATTTATCTGCATGATGGAATATTTTCTTCAACAAAACGTTTACCTAAATCACAGTTAACAGTAAAACATTCAAAAATCTATTTTTCCCTCCGAATAATAACATTACAGTAGTTACTGTATTGCAAATATTCATCATACAGTAAAAAAGGCTGAGGACTAAAAACACTGTATTTACATACATGATAAATTAAAAAATATGAATTTTAATCATCAAAAATGAACACAAAACAAATCATTACACCTATAAAAAGTAAAATCTATATTTGGCAGTGGATACTATTACACAAATTCCTTATTAGGAATTAATTTCAGACTGGTGTAACAATAGGCACTGCTTAAAATGTTTATAAGTATACTTTGCAAAATAAATGTTTTCAGCTTCCGCTACTTTTTACTATGCACATGTTTATAAAAATTAAATTAATGAAATACAGTGTTTAGTTAATAAATGTGGAGACTTCTATTAACCAAGACATTATTATATACCTTACCTAAATTGTCATCTCGAGTGTCATCTCTTTAGTACAAAGCACTTTTTATAATACAAATTTGAAATGGGTGCTGTCTATACATTGTTAATTCATATCACAACGTCTGAGAACTATTCATTAAAGCATGTTCATCACCTTGAGCAGACAAGAGTACATAATCAAGTGCATTTTACAAGGATTCATATAAATCGATATTATTTTAATAAGATGATGTCGGAAAAGAGTACTGCACTATGGTAAAGTTGACAATGTTATTGTTATCAACAGAATGGCTTGTCATCGCCAGTATCCCTTGCAGAAGTGCATTCTCTGGATGACCACAGTGTTGCCTCACAAGATGAGTTTATACAGCGAGAGAAGAAGATGAAATCTAGAATCCAAGAGCTGGTCACAACTCTAGAGAAGGTTCAGAAGAGCTCTGAACTGCGGCACCAACAGTCGTCAGAATTTGTGGCAGATTTGAAGAGAGCTAATAGGTATGGATAACTATGGTTATAACCAGGAAAAGATGAACACCAATCTCACCCTTTATACTTTAGTCATTATTTATGGTAGCATGATTCTTACCTGCACTTCATTAATTTTAACCTCATAAATATTAAAGATAAATAAATGAGATGGGAACATTACCAACACAGTAATTTACTTGTATTTACTGAGTTATACTGTTATTCAACTACTAATTTTATGCACATAATGATTATTATTATGCATTTAAAGGGCCAGTGTCCATCAAATTTACTAATAGCACATCTAGTTGACTCTGGAATATGTAAATAATTTTAAAAATTGATCTAATTTGAACTACGACAAATTAAGAAAATATAGGGATACCTACTTCGTTACTTTTGCGATTGATACCAGGTAGGAACAGCTCATATCTTCATTGTAGGGTACCTTACCTTAATTTAATCTACTACCCCTTAGATGTTACTAAAATCTATTATACTGTAATGAAAATAGATTTCAAATACAATAAATTGTAAAACTTTGCAATTCAAGGCATTACACTTCTTACAGCAGTTACTTACCATTCCATGAATCTCCCTCCCCTCCCTGCCAGCTGTTCAAAATGCCACCCTTCTCCCACTGGTTACTTGTCAATTAAACCCCACACCTCTCACATTAATTTTATTTTTGTTTCAAAAAATTACAACATAAAAACCAACAATACAAATACTACTTTTTTTTTTAAAGGAAAAAAGCAATATTTCAAACATTACTTAAATTATCTTACTGTGATCTTTGATGTTGACTAATAATGACAGTGTCAGTCATAATTATTTCACCATTGCTCTCCTAAGACTTTCATCCATCCTGCTGAGTCCCTGTAGATTTCAATCTCAGTCCTTGTATATGTAACTACACTAATCAGCCTATACTGCTTCATCATTTAATCCTCTTGTGATAGGTAAATTAATGATTGATATATTAGTTGATTGATATGACATGTCATATTATAGTTTTATTGGATGGCTACTGGTTTTTTTCATTTAGAAAATATAATTTTTCTGTTGGGAGGGTCATCATACGTTATGCATTCTTTCAGGATTTGTTGTCATGCTATATTCGTGATAGTTTGCTATTCTGTTGTTTTCATTTGTCCAAACAACACCAAGATATTTGATTCTTGATTATCATTTAAGCTGGATAATAAGTGTATAATAGTGTTAAAAATAAAAAATATAATAAACAATAAGTAAAATTATACATAATTTTAATGAAATAGCTAGTGTACATATTTAAGCATTAGCTTGTGTATATATGGCTACATCATTCCAATCTTTTGTTTGTAATATTAAATTAAGGTAATTATTGTTTGTAATATCTGCTTCACCTAAACATTTTAATGTTAAGTTTGCCAGAAGATTTTTTTCTTGTTTTATGATCTAAGTCTCATTTTAGTTGTTTTTATTTCTCTTTCCAGTGCCTTAGTAACGGCGTATGAGAAAGCCAAAAAGAAACATCAAAGTCGACTCAAGAAGCTAGAAGCTCAGATGTTAGCGATGGTTGAACGACACGATACACAGGTATTTAAAGTTCATCTCGCACACTTACACCACCGAACACCACACTTAAACATTTATCTCATTACTCAACTCATTTTATCTTTGTCTTACTCATCAAAAGCTGTACCAACTGAAGTTAGTACGGCCTTCAAGTTTGTTTTTAGAAATTCTAAAAATTAATCCGGTCAAAATATCCATCTTTTGTCTGTTAATACTTTTTAAAATGTAATTTAAAATTGTAGATGGTTTACATGCAACTCAATGTATTGAATTTAAGATGCTTAAATGAATCACAATGGTGACTAGAGGTTCAAGTACCTTGCATAATTTATGGAATTGATTGAAAGCCATGTAGAGCAAAAAGTTAATAACATCGCAAGGAAAAAATTATGAACATTGCGGAAAAGAAATAATCTTCAGGATTTGAGTTGTCTTATGAAATGCTGATGAGATCATGTTTAATATTGCGATGTGAGGTATTACAATGCCTCAGCATTATCCTAAACTTTTAACAACTTCTTCTTTAGATTTAACAACCTTGAAAATAATGCGACCTGTGTTGCGAAGAATAGATCAAGCATTAATTTAATCTTGTTAGAAAATATATCAATTCATAATTCACAACAAGATGACAGATATTATTTAAAGGATATGAGTGAGGTGAAAGCATGCAGCTGAAAGGATCTTTATATATATATATATATATATCTCCAATCTTTTTTATCGATAAAAGATTTTATTTTATAAATCCTTGATAGGCAGTTCAAGTTTGTTAGTAAATAAGTAATATTTAAGAGCAAATAATTTAATTTCTATGGTATGTAGCAAAGAAGAGAAATAAAGATGTATGATATTAAGAATAATAATTTTTATTTGGCAAAGTAAAGTACAGTCTTTCCAGGAGCAAGGAATAACCATTTCAAAAATATATGTTAATAACTTGAATTGTATAATAATCATATTATAACATTAGAAGGTCGTTGATAAGGCAATATAAAGTAAAAGTAAAGAAATATTACATTTGTAAGTAATGGTAAGTAATAAAATTATTGTAATATTAATTATATATTGAGATAATAGAAGTGATGATGTATATAATAAAACATTTTATTATTATTATATCTGTCACAACCTCAGCCTCTGGAATACTGCCCTCAATATGATGATAATTGTATATTATTGACCTATAGGGTGCATTCAATTGAATGATACATGAGTACAGTTATTAACCTCATGATGTCATGCAGTCTGATAGAATAAGGTGATCTTATAATGATTAGTAAATCCATGTTGGATTACACTAGTGCAAGTCTCTACTCATCATACATTAAAGGATGTCACATGGCGACGATGCCACGTCACGCATCAATCACATGCAACTCTGATGATGTGTGAAATAGCACATCGTATGTGTCGCATGCACTTACGCAACGAGAGCCAACTGGCACAGAGGAACCGTATTTTCCGCAGTTCTTAGCCCCATCAAATTGACTATAATTAGGCCTGACAGATAGTCCTTCATTTAACTGGCAGCGAGATCAAGTCAAGGAACTTAACGTTAAACTATTGGTTATCTTCATTGATTTGAATTAGCCCTCTGTCTTCTTACTTTCATTTGGATCTATTTCTTTGCATTCTGAGCTAAAGATATCATTGATTGTGCCAAAGCTAATTAACTGAGCAACAAGATTACTTTATATTGGCATTTATTAACTTGGTCATTCCATCATATAATATAATAGTGCAGTTTTGCCTTTATTATTTAAGTGACACCAACAAACTGGATAATAAATTTCAATAAAGTCAATTTACATTAAAGTAACCACATGGTGTAGGGCATGTCTGGAGCCAGGAAGAGGAAGTCCGATATTTTACAAGTTTCTCGAAAATGTCTCAAAACAGCATTTTCAATCATATTTTAGAATTTTCCCACACCCTTTTCTAACTTCCAAAATGTTTTGTAATATATTGTGGTTTGAGTAGAATTTGATAATATCAAACAATTATTTTATTCCGTGGTGCACCAAGTATTAATATATATTATTACTTTGCCTTGCAAACCTTCAAACAATAAATATTTATTGAGATTAAAAATCAATAAATAACAGAAATGATTTCACTCAAAGCCCTGGAAAAATTTAATTCAAATACTTACTATTAATTAGAATTTCATTATCTTATGTAAATGATAAAATTTGCAACAATAAAGGTACATTAATCTTCTGTTTTAATTTAAATTACTGCTATACTTTAAAAATTTCATTATTGTATTTTGAAAACTTGAATTACCATAAATGTTACAAGTTTATTTCTACTATGTACATGATTTAACAATTAAATTTATAGTATATGTTACTATTGTAACAACATTTATTTTATTATTTTCAGGTGCGAATGTTAAAGCAAAGGATCGCACTATTGGAGGAAGAAAACCAAGCAACAAGACGACCCCACAATGAGACCTCACTATGACATCATTGTAACATCGCCAAGACATTACCTTGGCAACTGGTGTCTCTTGAGATTCTTTACCTTATTTATTGATGGATATCACTGCAATCTTAGCATCATTGTGACGTCATTATGACATCATCACCTTAACACCTGATATTTTATGAGATTGATATTTTGATTGACGTTGCCTCAATCTGAAACAATGCAAGTTCGCATCAAGCAGTGGACATTGTCTACAATTGTATAATATATTCAAAATTTTATGGATTTCACTTTATTGAAAAAAATGTGTGTTGTAGTTGGTTATCAAAACCTTTTAACCCTGCAATGATCATTACCTTGATGGAGTTAAAGAAAGAAAAAAACCTGTATAATACACAATAAGTATTAACCAATACTTGGTGCAAAGCATCTACAACCTTTAGCTACATGTTTTGTTAGACAGGGGTAAAAAATTAAGTATGATATAGATTTACCTTGTTCAACCACACTCATTGGCCAATCACATATCAATTCTTTAGCAACAATCAATACTCTCTGTCAGTTTCATGTTTGCTTTTCCTTTTTTTTTGTAAAAAATGCATATTGTATCTATTTATGGATTAAAAAATTGTATAATATGTAAATATGTAATGCAAAGTATATCGTTAATAGGCTTCTAATTAGGTCGTAAGTGACATCAGCTGTTTAGTCATTTTAAATCGTTTTAGTAGATAAAGTTATTAAACAGTTTTATAAATAAATAAATAAGCACCTTAAACATGTTCTGAAGCAAGAATTTTAACAAGAGTTCTCCCAATAATTAAGTACAAATGTTTGTACTGTACTTAGCTGGGCTTATTTGGTAAAGCAATTATTTAGTACTACTAGGCTAAACAAGTACATATTTTATCATAATCATTTTCAACAAGCTTTAAATTCTAATTACAATGTATAAAATACATTTCATAGTATTCAACAACCAGAATTTCATTTAAGTTATTATCATTTTTAATTTCCACAGGAGGTGTTTCTCCATACAAAAGTTACTATCATATGAATTGCTATTATTCATTGCATGTTACGCAATACCTCGAGAAAAAAAATGTGTCCTAATGAGAAAATTGAAGTGTGTATACCACTTGGTATCATAGCTCAGTTGATTGAAGTGTGTATACCACTTGGTATCATAGCTCAGTTGGTAGAGTATCTGAATAGTAATCAGAAGGTCTTGGGTTGGAACCATGGTGGGGATATGTTTTTTTTTTTTTTATTATATTTATTATCGTATTATAATTTACAAATGATTACTTTGTTAATTATCTATAGTGACAGCAATTATAATCAAAATGGATATTGCCATCTGCAGGGGTCCCAAGTTGGAATAATCCAAATCCGGGAGAATTTTTAATGAGCATTTTTAATGAGGATTTCAAATGAGCATTTTTAACACATCTAATTATATTTTGCTGTGTGTGCTGATGCCCATTGCCACTGACATCCGGGAGACAATTGGTAATACAGAAGTGAAAGCATGAAAATATAGTGAATTTGTGGGAGATGGGTTGTTTTCCTGAAGATTATTGCCTGAGTGCAGCATTTCCGGGAGACTTCGGACCCCTGTATGTAACAGCCAATCAGATTGCATATAGTTCAGAATGTTTACATTTTAAGCATATGAGGATGATGTCGTTTCAGAAAATGGTAACATGAACATGTGGTAATTAACATGAATATGTATGAAGCTAATTATATTTGGATTAATAAGTTTTCTTTGTGTTGATATTGAGCACATTGACTTGTGTAGATATCACTGATACAGCTTTGCACTGTCAACTTGTATGAATCATGTGAACTTGCTGTAGCTCCACAGATTTTGTGTGCTGACATTTTGATTATTTTATATTTAACATCAAATATAAATTTGATGCTGGGTCTTGGTATCTAAGTAAGTTATTAACCAACTAGGACATTATTCAACTCGAAAATAAAGAGCTTTCAAAGTATAATTGGTTCCGTTTGTGTGTATGTATGTGTTTATGCAACATTCATGTTGTAATGATTTATGTTCTTTCATTCATCAATTTATATACTGTGTGAGACATTCAGTGAAATGCGAGACAAGTATTTATATTTAATTGACTGGTCTCGCTTTAACTACAAACAATTAAAATAATAAAAGCAAATAAGAGTGTTGGCACAGACCACAAGGAGGGCAATATCTATCAAAGGTTTTGTAAGAAAATGTTGGTGTCAATACAATTAGAGTTGAAATATAGACCAAGTTCCAAACCTGCCAATGCTCTTGCTTGTTTCCTTTGTAAGATGCTTTGCTCTTATTAACATGTCCTGATAACAAAAGAGTGTCTCCCATTGTACTTACCGTGATAGGTGATCACATTGCAACCACTGTGGGTCCATCATGCCTAATCTGGACCATTATATATATTCTCAACAACTCATCATGGAATATGAAATGTAGCCATTGATAGTCTAAATGATAAACAGTACAGTAAATAAAACAGCACTTTACATTAAGGAACTGGATTGATACACAAGCTTTCAACCACACAAATGTGTATCTGTAAACGAAACCTTGTTTTGTATTTTATTTTCTGTTCATGCCAACACTACTATAAAATAGCCACTAACAGGACGAGTAAAACATTTACATTTTACATTTGGTAATGTCTCTGGAAGTGTTTAGGATTAGAAACTACTTCACTTTTCAGCACTAACCTTGAAATCTAAACCGAAAAATACACTAAAATACACATGGACAAACAGCAGTAGAACCAGTCACCAGTGTATGTTACTTGGACTCCCTGGATAAGGACTTGCTGGAACAAAATCAATGGGGGCGCCGGAGTGCCTGGGCTGTCACAAAGAGTCCCAGGGGGTGGATCCTGCATTTGCAGGAGAATCCAGAAAAAAAGGATGATAACAAGAAGTTTAAATGACGTTGAGTGTCTCCTCCCAATGGTTGGGTGAATAAAAGTTATATTAGTGACTGTTTTTTGCTATATTTCCTGAACCCTCTTCTGTTTTGTCACCCTCCTATCTGCAATAGACTTATCTATAATGTAACCTAGAAGTCAAAATTATTATTATACTATTGAAAGTTATTCCAAGAATAAAACAAAAGCAGCTTCTGGCTATTTTCTAACATCTGTCTAAAATGCTTTTTTCCTCACTACATTTAAAGATCTAAAATCTTCAGGAGGCGTACCGTCGTCCTGGTCCCCCTCTGGATCTGCCCCAAAGTCTAAGTTATTTTTTACCTTGCTGGATCTCGAATAAGATACTTGTATATAAAGTGCTTCAAAGGCATATGGGGGAAAACTCAGAAACGGCAAGTGGAATAATGCAATTAATAATATAAATTGAAATAAACTGAAACGTAACAGAAGAAAAAAAGAAAAAAGCTCAACCTTCACCAGGATAATTAACTGTCTCTTATACACATCTAGATGTGTATAAGAGACAGTAGTATATATATATATATATCAAATAGATAATACTGTAATACAAAGGTCAAATATATAAGAACATGATGTTATAAATCGTATCAAACATAAGTTCATTATTAGCTGTATGAGAAGAGGTCGCTAGTTCTGGTGGTAAATCGAACCCGCAATCTCTCACTAACTCTACGAGCACCATACCATTTTGACCACAGAGACCTGTACGACATAATTACGGATTTAAAACATTAATATTGTATTATTTAAGACAACTGCCTCTTCATACAAATGATTAAGCTACGCAATAAAATATCCATTTGATTCACACATTATTTGTTTCCATTGAACAATGCTCCAACAGGAACATCTTGTAATAATCGTATCCAGCATATCAACGAAGATACTTTATTTAAATTGTATGAAAATAAAAACGTGTCCGGATTCGAACCTGCAACCTCTGACTATTAAGGTGAGTATCACATCCATTAGCCCACAGAGACCTATAGTGTCACAAACGAAGATCTAACCCCCAGGCACTTTCTGTCAAATAACTGACCTTCACGTTCACACAGTGGAAACTTAGCTTAAATGTTGCAACTAGGAAATCATAGTAAATAATATTCAAATTGGGGTTTGCTGGGTAGCACTGTCAAAGACCATATAAACAAAATACTAATATACCAGCTCTCAAATATGAGCATGTGTTGTCATAATCGTATGAAGCATAGCTTGTCCTCTACGCTGCGCTTTATACGATTATTATATCACAAGTATTTTAGACTTTCTGGCTCCCCTCTATTTTGCATTCTTGGATCTGCCACTAGCACCCTATAATATACCGTACTGTATATTAGGCCACTAAAATTAAATTACTAGTTTCACGTTCCCGAATTGTGGAGCCTCGTGAAAATACTTACTATTTGCTATTAAAATAATAATATTAATAATTTTCAATGGAAATAAGAATAATGATGATCTGAAAGATTGTTGTCAAAATGCACAGACCACAAGGGCTTTTTCCCCAAGGATCAGAAAATTACCGATTATGTTTGAATTAACCTTGTTTAACATCATTTCTATAGCATTAAATACTGTTAATTATGCCAGGAATAAGTCTACAGTATAGGCCTATGCCTTGACTAAATTAAATATTATTTAAGCTTCTTAAAAGTAAGAATAAGTGGAATTTACAAACATAGATATTATTTTTGTGATCTGTAGGTGTCACGGAATCACAAAATCAATCAGAAAAAAAGGGTCGAAAAGTCATCCAATTTGTACAAAAACCATGAGCCTTTGCAACTTCTGTTTTTCTTTTTCCAAAATTGGGCTATTTTTCATCAGTCGCGTTTCAGCTGATTCTTACATTATACACAAGGACCATGAAAATACCGACTATGTTTGAATATTACCTTGTTTAACATCATTTATAGGATTAAATGTTGTTTGGAATCTATTACCTATTTCTGTTCGACAATCTTCAAATTTAAACTCATTTAAACCTAATTTGAAAAATTTTCTGTTTACAAAATCGCTTTAATTGTTCACTGCGCCTTTGATAATGTTTTTTGAATTGGCGCGTTATAAATTTCTGCATATTATTATTATTATTATTAATTATTCTAGAATTAAGCCTATAGGCCTATGTCTTATGAATAAACGAGATATAATTTAAGCTTAAAACTAAGAAGTGGCATTTGCAAAAATGGGTATCATTTTGTGATACATAGGTGCCACTATGCATATTTTCGTTTTGGGCTATATTTCACGTAGTAGTTTTTTGTTTGAATTAACCTTGTTTAACATAATTGTTATAGCATTATATGTTGTTAATTATGTTGAATTAACCTTGTTCAACTCAAGTTTCTTAAAGTAATTTAAATATTTTGAATGACGCCACAATTAGACACTTAGAACACTTATTTAGATATCATCGTCATTAACATTATTTCAGTTAATGAAGCTGTTAAGAGGAATTTTCAAAAATGGTGGGTGTTTCGTGATCTGTAGATGCTACAGAACGGAAAAATATCGAAAATAGGCAGGGTAAACCGTCCACATTCGAACAAATTGACTACATCTTTTCACCCCATTATTACATTATGTTATCAAATGATCATAAGTTCACATTTAAGATGGCCTTAATTAAGTAGGCCTCCTTTGTATATTGTTGGTTAAGGCATCTGCATAGACAGCAGACGATCCCGAATTGGAATGCCAGTTAAGCCAATTTGTTACCACTTGCAGATTCCTCTTCTTTCAATCTATATATTATATTCATTAAGCATTGCTGCAAGACGGCTTTTAGTTTATCTCCTTACTATACTATAATGTAACTTAATTATATGTATACTGTATTATCTTATTCACATCTTAAATCATAGCATTTTATATTCGTCCTCTACCTGTCTATAAATATGTATGTATGCATGTGTATATATTTTTTTTAATTAAAAAAATGTCTTAATCATTAGTGTAATACAAAGCAGTCGGAGCTAGTGATAGTGCCATCAAACATTTATAAGTTACATTTGGCTAAAATGTTTAGTTTATGCTGCATTGAAATTTCCTGGTAGCTGACCATAACAACGCAATAAAACAGCAAAATGGTGATGATTACCTAATACATGCAGTGGATTCTGGCGATATATAAATTGTTACGATTCAATGGTATGAGCTGAGCATTTGTCTGATTGGTATGGTCCGAGACCCGGCTCCGCAGCCGAGTATTGAATTCGGGTCTTTTTTAAAAACTCAGCTCCTCGAATAAGCCTTTCAGGAAAGTCATGCGAGTTAAGGACCATGTCTAGTATCTGTTGTATGTTATAGTCACCCAGCCCAAATTATTGAATTGAATATAATGTATTTATGTTCCCTGGGATTTAAGAAGCAACTTTAGTGTAAGTGCCATGATTGAGTCATGGTTTACTTGGCAAAGTGGATGTATGGCCAATAACTATTAAGTACTGTAACTATATATGCAGGTTTTAAACGCTTTAAAATAAAGTCATTGGTTACCGTATGTATAGTATAGTATAGTATGCATGTATGTAAGCATGGAATGGAAGCTGTGTAATGCAGTGGTAAAGATATAAGGCTTTAATTTGAGATTAAGGCTTGCTTGTGTCCATATGCAATATACCATTTATGTTTGCCTCTCTTTACACATGTCATTCACATCACAATAACACTTCTCTCTCTAATATATAAACAGTAACAATAACATATACTGTATATAATATATATATATGTTGTCAAGTCAGTATTATATTACTCGACTATGTTTTCCAAATGGAATACACTTTTGTATTGAGCAGGTTTTATAACTGCCTACAGTCTGTAATATTATTTATCTTTTCCATTTTTGTATTTGTTATGGAGGAAATTCTGAAATAAAAGTTGATTGATTGATTGATAAATGTGTGTATGTATGCCTAAATGTGTGTATATAGCCAAATTATATATTTATAAATATATAAAATACCATTTGCATTATTATATGATTCACTGAAAGTAAGAAACACTTGAAACAATATTCTGTTGTTACAAAGATGGCACATTTATTTCTAAACAGCTGACTATTTACAGTGAGTCCATTGGGGGCGCTATCCCAAAGCTGAATGCTAAAAAATGAATTCCCAATCAAGGCTTGTGCCAAAACCTACACAGTGCAAGAAACAAATTCATCCTAGTCCATCCACTCCTGTGGGACTAAATACAATTGTTACCTGACAATAAATTACAATTTCATTAGTAGCAAGTCAATTAGTACACAAACTGGTGCCATGAAGAAAATGGGGGGAAGGGGGAACGAAGTGGCCGGGGAACCCCAAGTATTAATTAAGAGACATGATAACAAAAGGTATCATTTTCCACATCAACAGGTAAAATGTTTCCCTGCTTGGTGCTATGCAACATATCATGATGCTTAAAAATACTAACCTACACTTAAAGAACAAAAGAAAAAAAATATATAAAAACTATTCTACAACCAGAATTGCCGACTAAATCCAAGCTTATACCAGCCCAGAAGTGGCAGGTTTTTCTGGAATGATGGTGTCTATTTAAAAAAATGACTACATAGGTAACAAGGTTTCTGTCAATCAAATTTACAGACCAATTCACCAAAGAATATGCTTAAAATCAACATTTAACAAAAGAAGGTTCAAATGCTATATGTGCTCTGATTTTAAATTCTTAATATCAAACAAGAATAAAGGAAAAAATAATTATTAAAATTAGCAATTGAACAATTTTATATTTCTTCTATAAATTAATTTGTCACAAAGATTGAATATACTCCTGGTTTACCAATTTGAGGGCATTTTGACATGCCATGTCACAGCATGAGGTCAAAGTATCAAAGGTTAGACCAGAGTTCAAATGTTGGAAATTATACCTAAAGAAACTTGACAAGTGACTAAGGATAGGAATCCTTAACTTGCAGCACACATTGTGAACTCTTACAGGAAAACTGGTGGTAAAATAAACCCAAACTAATGAATTCTGGGTAATTCAGTAGCTGACAGTTATTTACATTGGCCCATTCTGGAGACCAGTGTAACACTATTGAACATAAATACCAAAATAAGACCTAAATGAGTTCATTCCTAGAGTCTTAAATCTATTATCAATGGAAATCGTAAATAAAATACAAGGGAAGACATATAAGTATTTTACAATACAACAAAAGGCATTGTGGGAAAACACTATTCTCCACATATTCAAGATTGTTGAGGTTTTTTAAAATTATTATTGTTCACCAAAACCAAAACCAATTTCTGTAAAAATGTCAATAACCTTCATTAAAAGCATACTATTTATTGAACACTACGACATTTGATGAAAGCTCCCTCACATGGTGGGTTGAAAGACAAAGACTCCTAGATCAAGAAAAAAATTAATTTAACGGTCCAGTGTCGATTCAAAAGAGAGGCTTCTTTTACCAGATAAACACTCTGGTTCATTAAAATATAGCAATTTTATCATTCATTTTAAAATCAAGAAAAAATATATTATTTAGCTTGGATAATTATATTTGATATTAATTTTTCCAAATCATAATTAAGCTTCCAATGTTTACATGGACTTAAAATACAAACACTTGGTAAAGTGTTGCATGCTAGGCAGTCATCAGATATCTTCTGACACCGTCTGACCCGACCGCCAACTTTATTTGGAGGGAGAAACAAAAACAACAAAAACCACAAACATTTATCAAACGTTTAGGCATGACTGGTGGTAGGTTAAAAAAAATCAAATGATTAAAACAAATGAGGTTTTTATTTTAATTATATAAAAAAAAGCATCCATCAAAGATGCGAAGTGCACCACCCCTGACCAGCACCTGCAATGCTGTCCCGTCAACAACTCAATTAATTTTTAGAAAATAAGTTTGAAACGAGTCGCATGATTCCTCATTGCTTTTCATTCCCCATCTGTTCACTCAAGTTTTTGTATCAATATCTACACATAATGTTCAAAAAACTGGTGAGCATGCCTCTCAAAATGGCTACAAAACCTTCAATAAATTAGTCCTGTTCATGCAGATAAGTTATCTTCGGGCGTCAATGGTTCGTGGGCAATCTGAGAAGCCGATGTCTGCATCGAATCGCCGCGAAATATCTCTAAGGATCTGGACATAGTAGTGACTGTTGATGATGATGCAGGAACCTGGGTTAGGTCCAGGCCATGGTGAATGCCGTACTCGTTCATTTGTTGTAGATGAGCTGGGTGCTGATTCAGTATGCTGTCCATGATGCCGGTGAAACCAGACTGTAGGACTGATTTTGACAAGCCACCAGGTATACTACCACCAAGGAGATTAGAAGAACCTGTAAAATAAGCCAAACTGTCAATAAATCATTTTTACAACCACTATCAAAACATAAGCAAAGAGTGCAAAAAAAACTGCAGCGCACTATACTTGTTAACCAATTAAAATATATATATACAGTATATTTTAAGATGATGTAAGCCAATATCTGTATTGTTTAGCTTAAAATAATGGCTACATCACATACTAGCATAATTTGCCACCAACAATGTTCTTAGGAGTAAGAGTATAATTTAGGCAAAAAAATACTGTTGTGTTACCATAAACACATGTTGGATATTTCATTTACTTCTACTATATAATATGCCTAGCTTAATTCAATACTGGTTAGAAAAAATTGTAAGCTCAAGGATATAATCCATGGTTATGGTATCAAAGTCATAAATTAAATCTTCAAAACTAAAATAATATATATCTTTACTTTAAATAAAGTTGACCCTAGATGCTTAAATATATGGTTTGACTGGGTTTGAGAACAGAATAAAGAAGTGTTTGGAACTTACCTACCTTGAAGACCATGTTGCGGCCCAAGGTGGTCACCTGCTGGCCCCAGACCACGGTTAGGCAACTCGTCAACTTTTTCTTCTTCTCGTCTTTTAAGGCACGCTGCTTTTGGATTTAAATTGCGATCTGTTGGTAAAAAAAAATACATCAATGTTAACAGAATTTAAAACTATTAATTACACAAGTGCGATCTGTTGGTAAAAAAAATACATCAATGTTAACAGAATTTAAAACTATTAATTACACAAGTGGGTTTATTTACATATTGCTTTCATGTACTAAGTTACTTAATACAGAAGCAATAATATTTAAAATATATATAGCATCATTCGAGAAGTATAAATACGGGCCTTCAATGCTATTACACTTGGTCAGTAGAATTTAAATTTGATGAAGACACATCACTTGTAGCCTTCTCCCCTCCCTACATAGTATATTACACAATGTTTGACAGAGTTTTCCAGCAAAATATTTTTGGAATTGAATAAAGTCTTTCAAATAGATAAATAAATGTTGATATTGACTGGCTTACCTCTAACTTGTGATTCTAAGCTGGTTATTACATTCACGGCTTGATGTAGTATCAGAAGCTTTGTCTGTGCTTTATCCGTATTTAGGTGTAACTGACACATACGACCCAGTTCCTTAAATGCTTCGTTGATGTCCCGCACTCTGATCCTTTCTCTGGCATTATTGGCGCTTCGTCGCTCTTTTTCCTTCTCTACTTTTGGTACTTCTCCATCTAGGCTTAGATCATCGGTAGTTCTACCAAAAAGAAAATTTAATTAGTAAAGTATTTTCCCCAACATAAAATGTAAAACTGAAAGGAATTGCGAATTTAACTGTAATCATATAGTCCTGTTCATAATGTGTGCAGTTCCTTCTTCTTTGTTATACTAGTTAGCCTGCAATGATCCTTCAATGTGAACACAGTCATCAGTCAAGAGGGGTGCAACTGTATTTTGGTGGTGAAAATGCTTTTTTTTTCAAACCCAAGTTTGGTTCAAAGATAAAACCAACTCACTAAGCCTCACAAAACGCTTAGGGAAGCATCCCTTCCATTCTGTAAGTGGAAAGTCATTCACTGTTTTATATTATGAAATCAAACTCTTCTTACCGTTTCTTTGTTTTCCCCGAATTATTTGAGCGATTACTATCGCTGCTTTTACTGTCTTCTGGTTTGCTTATGTCCATTTTTTCCTCCTTTTTTGGCTTGGCACCAACTGATTTACTTTTCACCTTCTCGATCTTTAACCCATCATCATCATGCCCCATCAGGTCATTCTGTACTGCTGCAAATATAACCAATAACTCATTTAATATTTTTTAATAATAAACTACCATAAAAACAAATTAAAAAAATAATAATAATAAAGTAAAAAATAAAAATACAAAAAAAGTACGACTCTGGGTTATTACGAAGCATACGATTCTATTCATAATTTATCCTTTTATTTCACTCAAAACTCAAACAAAAAGAGTCTTGTAAGCAAAAGGGAACATGTCCCTGTATAAGATGCCTACATTATACAAGATTTCAATAGAACAACAAAACTTGATTGACAAACACTCAATTTCATTAAAGACAACTACTGTACAACCAGTATGAGACTTGTATCATATTATTAGAATTTTAAGAATGATTAAGATAACAAAAATAATAGAATTAAGTCATATCAGTGAATGGGCTGGGTAAATGGTTATCTTCCTTGGACTAAAGGCCTATGAAGTAAGTTGTTAGTGAAGTGGATGAAATAGAGAAAGCAAAACATCTGAGATATTTGCAATAGAATTGAATAGATAATCTCGGATATTTAAGGGAAGGACTCAGATCCGCGGTGAGAATATTGCTGAGTGAGTTCAGACTGATTGACAGTTTACCTTTAAAGGTTTAGTCACCTGCAGACTAGGTTAATGGCTACACATGAAAGAGTCCTACCAACGCAGGTAATGGTGATGAGCATACAGATGATACAGGTTATGATGAAGAAGTCAAGAAATAATGATGGGCTTGTCAACTCCTAGCCTCACCCCTGACCTCTGTCTCATTCCAATCAAGTCTACACCTCAACCCGTGCATAACCAATTGCCGAATAATGACCGAAGTAAGCCTCAACTTAGGACACTCCTTCTCATTACTGTCTTAAAATCATCAACAGCCTTCAATATGAAATGTCCAATTAATAATACTAAGCAATGACGTATAAGTGACATATGTCGACAGGTTATTATCCTCTCCACAGGAGTTTAAAATGCTATATTAGGGATGAGGATGTTGAAAGGTTTACCAGGTAACTGAGGTATACCTGTGCATAAATTTATACCTTCTTTAATTTGCATTAATAATGAATGACAGACATTTCTCCCTTATATTAATCTACCTAGAAACGGCAAGATTTTTTTCCAGTATTTTATTTTTCTAGTTAATAACAAACACCGCAGAGAGTGATCACATTTTGGAAAGAACTAGTCCAATAGTGTGACCTGTGAGTCAGCTGTCCAGTACAACTGCCCTTTGACCACTGACCTAATTCCACATTCTGTAGGGAGTAAAAAATATGCAAGTGATCACCAACGATCCTTAATCTCCTACCACTAATACTTAACTATTACTAATAATATACCAGAAGACCAACAGCAGCAATGCCTACATACAGAGAAGCAATTTACATAGACCATGGGAAATGTACGGTATGTAGCCAACCAGAAAGTGTATAGCCCTTGAGAAATTGCATCCCTAGACACTAGCAAGCCAGCAGCCCATAAGAGCATGTGCAAGCATCAAAATATACCATATACTGTAACTAAGATATGTAGCCAAGATTTGGATTGTTTCTATCAAAACAAAAAAAAAACCCATTTCTATTCTCAAATGTAAAGCAATTTCGGTTAGACACAAAAGGAAATGCTACATTTCTGGTTAGACTTGCAGCAAGCAACTGATTACAAAGTTCATGGGGAACCATCTTTTAACACGCTATTAAATCCTGACGTGAACACTTCATTCTTTTTTTAAAAGTGAATGCTGTTCGTTTATTGGTTGAAAATATATTGTAAGGTGAGCTGATAATCAAAGGGGAAAAAATCTATTTCTCTTGTTATGTTTGATTGGATGTTTTCCCACATTATAGTTGATTCTATTTTAAAAGCTGATTGCTAATTGGATGCTTATGTATATTGATATTAAATGCACTTCCAAAAAGGGCTTTGAACTTTAGTCCAGACAAATACAAGACAGCCAACATCCACGTAATCAATATAAAATTAATAATAAATTATGAACACATTATGTGATTAATTTCATTGACTTGTAATCCCAAGGTTATACCACATCAGTCAGATTTTTTATTGTTTCATTATTTCATAATTGAAATAAAAATAACTAAATTAAATAAACTCTAATAAACTGATTTCATCATTTTGTTTATCATTTGTGAACAACACTTCCCTCTTACTGGGCAATTCTGATTTTAAAAAAACCAGTTTGTTTTCAAAGCATCAAGAATTAAAAGCTTTGCTAGAACTCGTTGGTCCTAGAAAAATAAACCATCTCGCATGCAAGACATTTACTGCGTGTGTACATCCTTTCTAACAGGATAATTAAACACGTCCTCAGTAGTTAAGCTCTAAATAAAGTTCTACCACCAAGGACAAAATGAACAAAGAAGAATGCATGTCCTAACATTATGCTCAATAGAAACACTTCTAAGAAAGGTGAAAATACAAGCATCCCTTTATCATGAAAGACTATCAATTGAGATGTCTTTTTAAGACAAACTTAACGGATGTGATTATGTGTCTTTAGCGACACCTATGTGGCAATCCGGGACACCCACCATGATTTGACCAGGACTTCAGCTGGTCAGCATCTGACTGGTAAAAGTAGACCAACAGATTAACTGTCTGTGCTAGATACTCCATGATATGATCACCATCAGATTAATTTCAGCCCAGGATATCAAGGTCCTTGAAGTATTCTTTACCAGTTTAGATTACAACTCCAAAAACACAGATGTACTCTATACCTAAGGCAACTAACTAATGTACCGTCAGCCAACTTAAAGAAAAATCAACAGGCTCAGACACAAAGGTATCCAAAAATAAAGAAAACAAGCACTCAATATTAGTTGTCAACTAATAAAAATAAATAAAACCAAAATACCAATGTATAAGTTCAGTCAGGCTCCGGAAGAAAAACATTTCTTGATACGTTGTAACTGATTTTTCTATGAATCAAAAAGGGTGTTTAACGAAAAACTTGGAATGGTTAACAAGATTCAGATTTTTGAACATTTAATAACTGGGTGAAAAGGGCGGTTACACCCCCAGTTTTTAAATGTTCAAACATCTGTATCTCATTCACCGTCCCCAATTTTTTCATCAAACACCCTTTTTGTGTCTTAGAAAAATCAGTTGTACAACATATCAAAAATATTTTTCCTCCAGAGCCTGACTAAGTATATACACCATGTTTAAAGTTTTTTTTTTTAAAGATATAGTATCATGTTTTCCTTAAACAATATAACAGAAGTCATCAGAAGCAATGCTTTGATTGGTTGGTGTATTTGTTGTTTGGTGTTAGATATCTGTTTTAATAGCCATCGGCCAAACCTATGATTTCCTATAATGCTTGTGTGGTAAAATATTCCCAGGCTTTTCTGATGACCTTGGTGTTTCAACATGCTCTCCAACGAAGCCAAAATATAATTTTCATATTTTCTATGGTATGTACATTCATAAATCATAGATAAACCTATTACACACGTTAACTGAGTGTGACAAAAATATATGCATTTTGAGCAGACTTACAGCTGAAGGGTTGTTGTGGCTGAGCAATTTCTGATGGTGGGAGTGGGGGTCCAGATACCGAACTTCGGTGGTTGTCAGGCACTGATGAAGGAGGTCCACCCTAAAAATACAGAAAACAAATCAATAACAAACAAAATATATGATACAAGATATTGCAAGCTTAGAATGTATTTCAAGGTAAAAAAAAAATGCTTAACCTAAAAAAATAACTAATTCAATACAGCATATCTGATCTTATTACAACAAAAATAAGATAAGGAAATTTATGCAAATACGGAGAAATGATTCTAAGCGACCTAAATTTAAATGGTAAATGTCAAATTCAAACATTAAAAGGTATCTTGTACTTATAATAAGCAAAGAATCAAAAATGAAATATGAAAAGGTTTAGTCAGTGGTCAGTTGCTGATAATACATTTTTAATTTCTAATACCACAAGTACACTCAGCTCTCACCTGGGAATATATGTAGACTTTTCATACGCATAATCAATTATATGAATCTACGCAATAACATTAAGAATGACATTATCTTGAAATGGTAATGACACCCTTAAAAAAACAGCTATCAAGATTAAATTTATATTGCTTAAAATAAAATGCATGCCATGAAATCAAAAACGATATTTCCGTTGGAAAAATGTTTTTATTCTGAACTGAAAGTTATGACCAATGATAGGAGGTATTCCTGCTGAACTGAAAGTAAAAGAAAATTGAATGGGCCAAGGAAGAATGTAGGCCTAAATCCAAGAAGCTAGGCTTAGGGTCACATACTTCCAACCTATATTTATATAAACTTGTTGAGGATTATGAGGTTCAATGGCCCCAATCACAATCATAATAAATCAGGCCACTGATGATCTGTTGGGCCTAGCTCCAGCTTTCTTTATTTTATCACAACTCTAATTAAAATTGAGAATATTCTAGTCAAGTATGTTAATACAATGATGGCCTAAAAAAGTGTTGGTTAACAATTTGGCAAAGAGCTTTCAACAACGCTTAAGAAAATAATCAACAGGAAATGAGAGCAAAGGTAATAAGAAATGCACAAAGCTTCTTGGAATGAAACGTGCAAATAATCACCGTGAATTCTGTTCCTTGCTAGAAATTAAAGATTTATAACACCTACTTGAATATAAGCTATTTAATCTTCCAAGTAAAATCAGCTAATTATGAAAAATGAAATTTCCTAATATCTTAGTTGAATGAGATATTGTCCCCAAAATGTTAACATAATTTAGAATAGCTGTTAAGCACAGTAACATACAAAAATAAAACAAATTCAGTTGATTCTAAACAGCGCTCCAACTTACATTCTGGCCATGTTAAAAATTCCTACCGACTCTGAATATCTTATGAATCCTGACTCAACCAAATGGGTGTTACAGATGCAATGCTGAAGCCTAAAATCACACAGCCCTAGTTGGCAGTACTACAAACACGAAAATTATGGACAAGCAATATAAGAATCTTATTTTAAACACTCAAATATTGTAGATGTTACAGGCACATAGGAACCGTGACAGGAAAAGATCACTAATACTTCCAGCTGATTCTTCTGCTAACAGCTCAGAAAAACAGCTGAAGGGGACATCTGAGCTGCAGTCAACTATATAAAATTAGAAATATAGGCAAAGCAGGTGGTTTACCATCATCTCTGGGTAGAAACCGTAGTAGTGACTTTCTGCAGGTGTCATGCCATACGGGCTTGCGTACAAGTGATTAGGGTTCCACATACTGCTTACTCGATACTCGATCAGGTGTTATGCGGCAAATACAAGCTCCTGCCAACAGTTTCTGCACGGCTACCCCGACTAGCTCCCCTTACAAAATGCTTCCACAAGAAGGTGGCGAACAGTTAAAAGACCACGAAAAGGTGAATTTTGTACTAAATCCTTCGCAAACTTGCAGCAACTAATATCTCCCAGGGCGGAAGTCGAATTGGAGAGAGCATGCTACAAATTCGTTCTTATACTGGCGTGGAAGAACGTGATGTCACGTTGAACGTATGGAGTATATTCTAATAATTCACATTAGACAGCTGGGCAAGTGTTGAAAGCAGTGTTCAAGAGACGAACAAGGCAAGTTGACAGCACGTATGCAGTATCTATCTGCAGTTTGTACGTCGACTTTGACAAAGGCCAGTCTGCTCTTTCAGCCTGCCTGCAAGTGTGAAACCGTTTTCCTACTCCTATGCTGATGTCAAATGTTGAAGTACAGCCATTTCCCTGGCGGTTCATACCAGAAATGGAGGCTCGAAAACAAGACCCAACGATTTAGTAGTAATTTCCTGTCTCCCTGGCCTTCAACCGCCATCACAGATATTTTCACCTACAACTTTATAAAGGAAGTAGATGCAAGCAATCTATGAACCAAACCCAGTCAACACATAGTCAGGTTTCATTAGCGACCACTGCTTAAGTAAAGCTCTAATTACAACTAGATTAACCTCTCAAATAAACTACTTTTGCATAATATGAAAGGATGGAATACCAACGTAAAATATAGGTAATAAAAAAGATGAAAAGGCCCAACTTTACTAAAACCAACTTTTGAAATTCGTAACACTAGCAATTCAAACAATGAGAATTTTCAAAAACCAGACATGTTTTGATTTTTAGATGTAATTATAAACATGAACATGAATGATAAAAATCACTCAGTTAGCTATCTGTTACTGGCTTGCTCCACATAATTTAATTAAATGTTCTCACACATTCACTAAAATAAATAGTCATAAATTACATGACTTTTGGAGGGAAGGTTATACAACAAAGCTGAAAGTAATTCATCTCCAATGTTTAACTTTCTTAAATTTTGGGAATTTTAACAATCTTAAAATTGGATTAGAATGACTTAATATCAAACTTGGTTCCTTTAAAAAATAAGAGTATTAGGCCCTATAAAAAATATTATTAGTTTATCACCTTATCTGGGCAGGAAAAGTGATGAGGGAGGGAGTTTTTTTTTTTATTTTTTATTTTGCTAAAGCCAAATATCACCCTTGGGTTGTTTGCTGGTGCAGTGATATTCAAAGTAAAACGTGATTTAGATAATGCAAACAATATCTACTAACTATTTAATAAAATAAATGAAAAAAAATAAATAAATAAAATTTTTAAAAAAATTTAAAAAAAAAATTTTTTTATAAAAATTTTTTCCAGTACCATAGAAGACATGCGCGTGGGGGTGATAAACTAATAATTTTTTTTATTGGGCCTTACAATTACACACTGGGTTTATTGTACAATACATAGTGGTTTATGTTAATCATGCCTTTGTTCTAAGCGTGTTATACATTTACGTCCTTGGTATTGTGAGATTTATCTGGCAAATTACACATTAACAATTGCTTGCTGCTAGACACTGTCAAAGAGATTTCTCAATGCTATTAAATCAATTTAGGAGAACATCAATACATTGCTCCTACAAATTGTGAGCTCTTTTTTTTTATTTGATTTCCGATTGCCATCCCTTTAACAAGGACCACATGGTTGTGTACATGATGTAACTATGGTGAAACTGGGATTAATTGCCATTTTATAATTATCCACAGCAGAGTGTGAGCACACTTAAGAAGCCGACATTTACAAACAGGCACCGTAAAATCCACCAGGATCAGGAGGCTCTCACTGGGCCCTCCTATTGGTCAGTCCAGACTTAATTAATTACCATGTCATAGGTCAAATCTCTAACACATGGAATGTTTTGACATGAAATTGTACACTAAGTTCTACAAACAATATCGATATTAATTTTTAAACTCGGGAAAAAATCAAAAAGAATTAATCAACAAGAAACATAACATTACTCAGTCATTTAAAAAAAATTTTCGTAACTTTGATTTTCTTTTTAAAAATATATATTACATTTTTTAAAATATTTCATCTTTTTATCATCTTTAAATAATTTATGACGGCAAATCCAATACTTGGATTTAGATCGCTAAATTATAAATTCTTTTAAAAAGGGTAAAGATGAACTGCTAAAACAGCTATCCACGCTTCTGGCTTCAGTGAGGTGTGAAAAGCAACATGGGTCATTAGTTGAGAGCTGTGCTCGGGAGAGTTGAAGTAACTAACAGCAGTTACCTAACTTACTCCATGTTGTCTCAATAATCTAACCATGTAGGTCTGTGATCCAACTATATAATGTTGCCTACTAAACTAAATTATAAACGATACAATTTAACACACTATGAGCTATTAATACTATGGAGCTAATGTTATCACCTCCAAAATAATGAAGACGACTCTGTATATATCGCAAAGTTATTGTGATTCATTAAATTATCTTGTCGCCGCGGGTGGTGGGTTTGTCCACGGTTTGCCCATCTTGTACTAACACCATCAATTTAAATAATATTTGCAAGTAGCAGGGGGTAATTTGATATAGCAATTGGCAGAATGGCAAGAGAGCAGCAGGGGTAATTCTGTCTTGCAATTGGCAGAATGGCAAGACAGCGTGAAAGTGCTGAGATTTTGATGGGATCAAGCCAATAGCGCTTAGATCAGCCAATTTAGTTTCAGCAGTGAAGTTCATTCGCCGATAGATTTCATCTTCCTTACTAAATCTGCCAAAATATTTTGATTATAAATAATTTTTAATATTTCCTAATACTTAAACAAAACAACCATCAGACTTAAAAAACACAAAAGTTAACTTTATGTTATTTAAGTCAGATATTTTTTGTGTTTGTGAATCACGTCAAAACTGACAGGCAACCAATTACAGGTACACTCTCTGGATTATGACAAATGCTAAAACAACAATCTTCAAAAATATATTCATATATTATTATGCAGTCAACCACCACTGTTCTCTTACCCCTTCCCTTTAACTGAGCAACATATGTTTTGGGGCAGGTTTCTGTCAATTATTTTAAATAATCAAGTAATATTTATACATATGTAATCATTTTTCATCGAATAACATCTTATACATAAAATATATCAACTTATCTTACCATGTGAGGATGCTCAACACCGTACTGTGACGGGTGACCATAAGGATGGGACATTCCGGGTGGCATACCGGAGCTGGAATGTGGGGGTAATCCATTTATCATTCCCGGTGGAATTCCGGGTGCCATTGGATTCATTCCTTGCGCGGGTAATTCTGCGTGTCTTTGTAAAACATGAATTGCATCATTTAAGCATTCTTCCATTCGACTCTGAAAAAAATTATATAAGCAATTTATAAATAATAAATATACCAATGTATGCATCAATGATTTGTCCTGCAATAAAAGAATTGCACCCTCTATAGATAATCAAATGGTATATCATTTTAAAGCATTCTTTCATTCCACTCTTGAGAAACATTAAGCAACTTAATAATAATATTGGAAATACATCAATGATCATTATTGATATTAAAATACAAGGATTGCACCCTCTCTAAACAAAAATTGATATCTGTAATTGATTGTATTTTTATTTTATTTTATTTTTTATTTCAACAATCTTTAATGAGGGCGGTCCATCCAGCTGAATCTGATCATTAGGGACCCTCAATACACAGTATAACAAAACTAAAGAGAGTATTAAACTAATTAATTTACAGTAAAATAAATAACAACCTCTCAATTCAAAATTTACATAAAGAATTAATTCAAAATTATATAAAAAACTTAATATAAATTTTAAAATTAAATTACAATTAAAGATGTAAATGAATTGAGCATGATTAAAACACAATAGGCAAAATAGACATTAAAACAAGAAAGAAAAAAAAGGGTTAAGAATAAAGTAGCCCAAATCAAATAATCAAATAAAGTAAAAATAGATAATAGGCCTATGCATATGAGAACTATAAATCAAATCATTCTTAATTTAAAGAAAATAAATCAATTTAAATTAATATATAAAACAGAAAATAAATATAAGGTGAAGAAATAAAAAAAATTAATAAAAAAAAAGGCCAAAGAAACAAAACGATGCCATAAAATGTGCCGAACGATAACATAAAAACAATTTTTCAATCATCTCTATTTGGCTTTTCCTGGAATTAATCCTTGGATTCTTAAGAGTTACAATATGTACATGAACATCATTTAATCTTATTATTACATCCGATTTATTCTCTATGTTTTAATTAGGTTTTTATATCCATACAGCATTTTTTTTTCTCAGCAATTATTTTTTTTTCTCAGCATTCTCCTTTAACAGCCAGTGACTGATCACTTATGTGATGAGTAATGCACCACAACTAAGTCTCATTACTTGGCTCAGTGGATGAAAGTTGTTTTAAGTCATGCAGAAAATATCATGATTTTTGCAGGATTTGTATTCTACAGAGGACCAATGAATAGAAGGAGAATAGTTTCTTTCTGGTAGCTTTAAGGTTCACAGTTCACTTTATAAATGTTATTCGGTGATGCAAAAAATTTCAAAACTATGACATAACAAATAATTTGAAAATCACTCACCACAATTTCACAAAACAAATTTTACCAACTGTAAAACTTTTTCCTAATATAATTGTTCTTAATGAAGCCTTAACTTTTATTTTATTTTTTTTGTGAATCATTTCTAATTTTCCAAAAAGTCAATGTTAAACCATTTGATATTTATTAGTGATAAGATAATTCAATTGTCAGAAATGTTTAAATGGTATTTGTTACAATTTCATTACATTAATTTAGATCAATTTTCTATGTCTGGAGGCTATAGTATAAGGTGCAGATGGCAAAGCATAAACCAGCTAGGGTGTCAAACTATGTCAAATCAATTCACGCACCAACACTTACAACAGCTTGCATCCCCCTTACAACAGTTCAGCCACCTGTTAACTCTCGCCACAAAATAAGGAGACCACTTGAGCCATAACTGTTGACATTGCATTGATCAACACTTGCTCACTTGTGAATGTTCACAAGTTAAAAGTTTGTCTTGACAGTGTATGTGATCTATTTATACTAACTTATGTGGCCTTATAACCTCAAAGAGGACAAATGATTGGTTGCTGACTTCTACCATAGCCTAATGACCTATTAACCTAATAAAAATACATATATCTCTGAATCATGTTGGCATTGCGATTGGAGTGGTTGTAACATTCAGTATTTCAGTTTGATAAATTGTTAATATTAAAATCAATCCAAAATGATAGTGATCCCTAGACTACCCCTTCTACCCCTAAGTTATCATGATTTTGCACAAATTTGTTTACAACGGCTTAGAAAACACTGGTTTATCACTTCACAAATTCCAAAGACAAATCAAATTGAGGTTATATTCACTTACTAGCTTCCTAATAATAGTCTAACAAAGAAAGTTGAGGCATTAAGCAGGCATGTGTGATATTCAGCAAATTGTACCTCACCACTTTGCAGTTACTAATTTAAACTCTGATATTAGGATTTTAATATGCGAAAAATATTCATCAATAAAAGGCCTTGTTATTGATGGTTTCTTATGACCAATTTATAATTTGTCAGGTTAATACATAATCTACCAAATAGGTAATACAAGACTCCTTAAGTATACCGTCAATGATAAATTTTACTCCGCAAATGGGTTGGATTTTAAGCTTCACCGGAAACCCTCTGAGTTTCGCCTTTGGCTGTTTGCATCTCGTAGAGAATTCTATGCTTGTTTTTATTGCAACCTTAGGCCTAGCAGAGTCCATTCTAATAACTGCCATACCCAGCATGACTGAGGCTGGCCAAACCTAGCTAACAGGGTCAGCCTTCCCTTTGGGTCCTAGCCCTAGACAGGTGACAAAATAGCCAGCAGCTTGGGAAATGAACACAGGTATAGAATAGCTTTTGTAAAATAAGTTGCTTACTAGATAACACCACCAACTTTCATTGCTATATGCAGACTGTGAAAGTACTACTTTTTGTTTTGAAAGGGAAGGAATAAAATAAGATACAAGGCCTACAATACTAGAATATTCAAATACTGTAACTTAAAAATCATTCTCAAGAATCAAAATCGGAATACAGTAATTTCAAAGACTTTTTTTTTCTTTCTTGCCCAAATAAAGTTTTAAAATCCCAAGAATTATGATATTACCAAACATGTTGGGTTTCAAATTATATTTCAAAAATGACAAATTGCTACAGTATAATAAATTAATAATTATGAGGTTAAAATATCTCCTTTGTAAGCAAGACAATAATAACTATCTAATATCAATAAGTACTGAAATAATAACATTAACATATAAAGAGATAATAATTTGAAATAAATTATTAAAGACAAGGTATAGGCCTAGATATGCGGTATCTGTCTAAAAAACAAAGTCAGTCAAACTTTGAAGAGAGTGAGAACTGTTTCCTGTCCCAAGGGGCATAAAAAGAAGGGTAAGATTTGTTATGTCCCAAAGGACATTAGAAGGGTGAGAATTGTTATAACTGTCCCAAAACGAATATTAAGGGTGATAGTGGTTTCTGTCCCAAGGGGCATTAGAGTTTATAGTCCCCTAAAACTGACCTGAAGAGGTGTAAAACTTGTCAAGACCTGTATTGAAGATACTCATCACCTGGACTTGTGACAGTCCAAGTGACACTGTGCAGTGACTAAATAACTCAAGTACCCCAGTCCAACTGTCCAAATTAATTCCATGATTTTCACTCAATACCCTATTTCTAAATTTCACCATCCAAGTACAAACAAAGGAAATTGAGAATACCATCTATGAATAAAGTTTAAATTTAAAGAGTTACTAACAGATCTTTAAAACCATCAAGTTTATTTTATAACAATCTTGAAGAAAGCTAATCATCAACTTAAATAATTTAAATCATACAATTATTACTATTTAAAAGAATTAACATTGCATATAAATATATATATATAACATATTTTTCCTACTAACATGATAAGTTTTGTATGTATTAAGATGCCAAGTCACTCAGCAGAGTTTTAATATGCCATTAAAGTTTTTTAAAAATTAATTAAAATATTAATCAATGTGACATTAACTAATTATTGTGTAAAAATAAATAAGAATATAGCAAGGAGAAAGGGTAAAATGATAATGCACTTGTTAATTTGTTGTTTCCTCTGCCATTGAGCGATACCTTGCTATCAAGGTTTTCAAAATGGTTATTTCATCTTCAATTAATAAGAAGGAAACTTAGATTAGGATCTTTATTTATGATTAATCAAAAACCAATTATAGAACATTAAATAATAAAGCAGAAAAATTCAATAATCTTGAAATGAAAACAATTAAAAATTAAAAATGTTTTAATACTTGTTACATTCCCCTGAAAATCTATCAAGTTTGTAGGTGATATTTAATTCAAAATGAATACTTAAATGGAGGAATAAAAATAAAATTTTGTTTTCTTATTTAGCAAATAGTTTTAATTTTTTAATGTGAAATAGGATGGTTAAATGCTTCAAATTTATATAATTAAAAAGAAATATACATATCTTTGGAGATTTCAAGGCAGTGGCGAGTGTAAAAAAAATAAAGAAAAACTTCAATTTATTTCTAAAATTTCCACTTTTTTGTGGCGGAAAATTTTTTTAAATTCAAAATCATCAATATTTGCAGTGGGCGGGTTCGTTAAACAAGGTATTAAAGAAGTCTCGCCTAAGTGACAATTTGTGTGACAAATGAACCATATATGGGCTTGATTATGTCATACCATACATAAATATGGGCATGACGCCATATCACGCCAATATATGGGCAAATAAAAGGTATTTATCACATAAAAACTTGATAGTGAGGAGAGAGTTTTAGAAGCGTTTATGAAGATACAGAGCATCATCTTGATAATAGCTTACTAATATTTTGACAATGATGTCATCACACAAGGACTTGACTTATCAGTCCTATAGTACCCTTCTGTACTGATCATTTAACCAATTAACAAACGTGTACCTGTAATTGGAAAAATCCTAGCGAACCAGCAATTTACCAACATTAACTGCGCCCCCTGCCAGCCAAATAATAAAAAACTTTTGGATTTATTCACGCACCATATGTAACAAATTAAACTTCTAAAAAACTATTGTTGATTGTGAACTCAAAGATAAATAATCAATGCTAATTAAAGCAAGTTTGTGAGCATTTCAAAGCTAAAGACAGCAGACAACCTCAAGGATTTGACCAATGGAAATGTGATATGAAGGTCACATGACTTTGGCCCTCTTATAAAACATTCTTTCATTTTATCGCCTGGCACGTTCTTCTAAATAAACAACTTCATTATTGAATCATCAACATTTTGTATCTATTTAAGATTTTTCTTCAATATCAAACATAATTACATTAAGATGATAATCATTTTAAAGATAATTTCATTGAAGGATAGGGAGACAATCTTGTTTGGGCTCTCGCCCATTCCCTATCTGGGTAAACGATGTTTGACTTTTGTATACTGTATTTGCCAAATAAATATTATTATAATTGTAATTGTCTACTACCCGGTAATCTTCAGAAAACATAATTATCATATAATCAGTTAAGTAGAAATCAAATATGATTGATGTTGACTATGCAAGCTTTATTACAGTAGTACAGTAGTGAATACAGTTAGACTTAAATTCAATTAACTTAACTCACAAATTTTGTTTAAATTATAATTTAATAAAACTAAAATGATTGCCACCTTTTTGGAAGTTCACTTTTTTGGTGTCAGGAAGTTTTTAATAACCAAATGGGCAGATTTATTATAAACAAGTGTTCTTCCTTTTCAAGCTGACCCACATGAGCCTACTACTACCACCAAAATATACAACACCCATGGGGAAACCCACTATCACGCAAAGAAGAAATAATATTTGATTTGCTTAAGATATTCTACAACTCCCTTACCAGAGTTCAAATCTCCATTCAGAAGGGACATCTCCATTCAGAAGGGACATAGGCATGCAATAAAAATTTAAAGACCAAAGTACAGGAGACCCTAGCACTTGAATTGCAAAGCAGCTGCCATGACAGAAATTATGCTAGGTCAAGGGTCATCAGCCACAATATTCTCCACTCATTGGAGAATTTAGCACAGCTTCTCAACCTACTTGCATCAATCGACAACTAATAGGATGAAATGCATAATTGCCAGTTTTCCTGTCTTCGCCAAGAACTTGTCAACATCATCCTGAGTTTAACTCAAGATATTTCAAAATTGTGTCTACAAATTCAATGTTAAGATTTATCTAATATCTTTTTAAAGACACTACAGAATATCTTTACAAAAATATTGGTACAGTTTTAAATAAGCCGTCTTTCAGTGCTTGCCTTCTACATTTAAAAAGCCAATTTTGGAATGAAAAATTACTTCTTATGACTTTCAAATGCTTAAAAGGATATGCCCCTCAATATTTGTCTTCAAAATTTATCTTTAACAATACTTGAAATACATATTTAACAATGAATTCCTTTTCAAAATTTATAAATACCGCAATATTAAATTCTTCTTACCAATGAATGCAGCTGATTTTCTCCACTGGTATTCACCGTAGTTGACACAGGTCCAGCACCTCCCGCATACCCTGAAGCAGAAGGGGAGGGCTGGCTACCACTTCTAGGCCAAGGACCTAATGATGCAATAAAAAAAGTAATAAACATGATTATTTTATTCCAATTAAAATCTTACCTGTTGAAAAAAATCAAAACTTGCCATCCATGGATCGCCACTTTGACGGACTATCATATCAAATCAAAATATTTTTGGATTTGGAAAATTAACATATTCTCAGACTAGGGAAGTATAGTACAGATTGGACCAGATAGTGGAAAAAGTAGTAAATTAGAATTTCACATTAATCTAAGGTCAAACAATAAATGTAGACCTATGTTCACTTATGTGATAGACTGAATACACCATGCTTTTACAAGCCAATTTTTCTGTGTTACAAAAACTGCATCGTTTTATTTTTAGTACATATACCGGTAGTTCTTAAATATTTGTGATAAAATAATCCAAATAAATACATTCACAATGTTCACTTCCATGACAAGAAAAAGTTATGCTTCCTTTGTTGCTTGTTTTGTGAATTTATTTGTTTAAAGATCGTCAGGAGAGGGTGGAAAAAAATTAAAAATTAAATTTTGTTTTCATGTGTAGTAAATGGCTTCGCCAAAAACATCTAGATGGAGGAGAAAATAAAAATAAAATTTTATTGTTGAATGTAAACAGTGTAATAATGGGATGGTTAAATGCTTTAAATTTATCTAATTAGGAATAAATATACATATCTAATTTTTGGAGATTTCAAGGCAGTGGTGGGCATAATAATAAAATAATAAAACATTTATTTTTTCTGAAATTTCCAGTTTTTCATGGCGGTGGGTATGCTAATTGGCCAAAAATAAAACGTTTATTTTCATTGGAAATCATCAATATTGGTGGTTTGCAAAACAAGGTGTAAAAAAAATCTCGCCTAAGCGCATGTACAGAGGCATTAATTTACGTCAGTACAAGTTATTTTTATCTTTAATTAGTTTTTCAGCTTTATTATCATTGATGTCTTTTTTTTTTCAGAATTTCAAATGGTTGAATTTCCACTTTTCAATATCAGTAAAAATATAGCTTCAAGCCTAATTCAAGGGTTGCAAAAATCCCTAATAACATATTTAAAAATATGACCTGAAGTTTTCACCACATTAGCACATGTGAATCTTGTTGACGTTACAACATTGAACAAAATTAACGGGGCACTGGGGAATGGGAAAAGAGCTCCTAGAAGGCGTATATAGTGTCAAAACGATTGTTTATCGCTCCGAATACAACATCTTCAGGGAGGAGTTAGTGTGCTTTCTATTAAGCGCATCAAGTCAAACATTCGCAGTAGTTTTATTTATGTTATTCTGAGCATAATTGGAGTTGTCATGTGTTCATCTTTCTATCATCACCTCGTAGATACATGGATCAAGCAACTTGCAAGGGTTCCATTTCGACTGTGATAGGCTTTGCACACGCCAACTTAATGATTCTTAACGTGTAAAAAGGAAATCAAATGCGACACTTTTCACTTCTGGCTCAAGAATACAATGCTATTTGCATCAGAGAAATTGAAATGTATCAAAGATGGCCCCGATTGAAAGTGGCGGACGGAGGAAATGTAAGTTACTCCGTTGGGACTGCTCAGCCTCGCTCACTGTATCTGTGGAGGGTCACGGACGAAACAATCGCTTAGACAATTTTTCTTAACGAAAGTCCAGATCTTGGCCTGTGCAGTCTGAGGCTAGGCAAAGGTGAAATTATTGAATGACGCAGCACAATGACTGTAAAGAGGAAGCAAATTGGCTTTGGCAGTCCTACAATGCTAGCCTAGTTCTGCAAAAAGGTGTTGAGAGAAGCAATACAGTCAGAATTGGCACTGAAGGAAGCCTCTTGTCTAAAAACCTGGGCCTAGGAAATTGAGCCCGACTCACAACCTATGAAGATTGCATTGTCGGGAAATTAACACCGACTTGAGGTGAAAAGGTCGCCCCCATAACACTGATAAGACCAGTTGAGTCAGGGAGACAATAGCCTACGTCAATCGGCACCTTACATATTTTGATCAAAGGGGTGTTTGGGTTCTACATCACCAATTCTTTATCACTTGATAAATTCTTCTCAATGGGAAAACACAGGACATTTGGGTGCAAATTGTAAACACAAGCACATTGTGCGGTTTTCAACAGGTAAGGCTTGCCTGCAATGTTTACAACTGATAAAGTATTAAAAACAATTTCAAAAATAAATTAGGCCAAATTGAGGTCATAGTATTTCATAACCACATAATATTTTTAGGAGATTTAGGTGAGATTAAAATTCTCAACAAATTTAATTTCAACTCATTAACACTACTAATGAGAAATATGAACATAATTTTTTCCCAAAATACCTATTGAAGTGAAGGTTATTTGTGGATGTGTATGTAGACAGGTTTATGTAAATTAAGTTATAGAATTAAGTGGAGAACTGATGGAATTTCAGATAGAATTAGCATCGTCATCAAAATAAAGATGAGTCCAGCAAATCAAATTAACACGTTGGTAATTCTACTAGTTGCACTCTGATTACCGTTTTAATGCAACCCAAACAAGATTCAATGAAACTATGCTTTTCACAAATTGAACGAGACAGCAAAAACCGAAGGAGAAAATTGAAATACATGATGACAAAAGCGAAGGATGATGTAAAGGTTATGTTAGTGTGAAATCACCAGACATCTTAGTTATGGCTGTCTCTATATTCATCATCCGTTGCGAACCACCAGTACGCTAATATCAACAGGGAGTCGGTGAACTTGAGCACATGCGTAACAAGATGCCCCATAGCAGTGATGGAAAATTAACGTAGAGGACCCTGAAGGAAAGAGATTGCATATGTGCCAAACTCAGCGATAGAAACAAAATTTAGAGACCGACAGTAAACATCTCTTGGAATTGTTGCAACTTCAGTGAAGTGATCCTCACTTTTATTTAAATCTCAATACAAAACTGTGCACAATGCATTTTGACCTAATTTATTATTTATGAAATTGGAAAACATGTCTATAATTAATTTTGGGAATTATTTCAAAAAACTTGAACTCTCAAGTTGTGTAACCCCATACTTTTGGGTGCTGGCTTGGTATTAGTTTTTTCCGACTTTCAATTTTGTATTTTTTTTATTGTTTTCCTACTTAAAATATTGTCAAGCGCATAGAAACCTTGTTTATTTGCACTAACCTGTATATAAATCCACCTATTATTATTATTATTTAAATAAGTAATAAATTCTTTATTATTGTTAATTTTAATGAAATTCAAGATATATATATAATTTGCTACAATTAAATTTATTTTAGCAAACATTATAATTATGATTTAAAGAAAGTAGGAAGATATTCTGGAAGTCTTGGAATATGATACTCTTTAAAAGTCTAGATCTAGTTTAATTTGCCCATCAAAATCTCTAGTTATTTTAAAGTCTTCTTTCCCATCTCCATGAAAAATAGTATAGTCCCCATGGAAACCCGTCCCTGTCGATTTCTTTCAAGGACATGGTAGGTTTAATCCAGCAACTCTTTTGGCTATACACAGCTGGGAAATGTTTTAATCTCGGACACCATTTCCTTCTACAGTATGTACAAAATAGCGGTGTAATTAGACACTGAAAAAAGAGTAAACTAACAAAAAAAACATTGTACTAACATTAACAATGATGCCAGTTGAAATAATTGAAATCGGAAAGTTACTAGTCAATGCCATAGCCAGGATTTTCAAACAATGCGGGACAATATCAGGGTGGACTCGCTTCACGCATAAATTCAAGCAATGTGGACCCATTTTACGCCAAAATATGAAAAATCTGGACCCGTATTCCTAAATTTTACCAATTTTAAGCTAAATATGAGAAATCTGTACCCATTTTTCAAAAAGTGGACCCATTTTATGCATAAAATTTCATAATTTGAACCCATTTTTAAAAATGTGGACCCATTCTTTGTGGCCCCATTAGAAAGATGGTGTAGGACTGTCCCAACAGCTACGGCATTGTTACTAATATCAACTATGAACAGAATAATCTGTTAATATCTGATTATTTTAAATATTTTTTTAAAACTATTTTTTAGTAGCACTTTTCAGCTTTAATCAGTAGAACTAAAAAACATTTAGTACAATCCTGGAAAAATAAAACATTCAATTGCTCTTTTGAAAGAATAAAGTCACCAAATGCCAATGAGATGGAGATTATGGAAGTAAAATAAATATTATAGCTGCCTGACAGAGAAAACAAAAATATCAGTACCAGGTTTCAGGTGGAAAAATCAAGTACAGTACATTCCTAATGTCTTTAAAAAAATATGGTTACACTTTTAAACATTATCTGCTTCCATAGCTATTAAAGTTTGATTAAATATAGTCGTGAAAATTAATTCCACCACAGAATTCTGTTTTTAACAGTAAATACATTTATTCTCTGTGGCTATATAGTCTTTGTGGTTTTACTATAAAAAGCCAGTCTTTAAAAACAACATTTAGGATCACATGGACTTATTGATCAATTTGATTTCATGAAAAAAAAGTTCAAGCAAAAAAAAACAAACACGGAAACAATTGTTGGCTGAATGGATTTTAGATTGATTTTCGGAAGTGGAAAAAAAATCAGTAAAGTTAATTCCTAGAATTAGTAAGTTCCAGATGGATAGTCTATAGATAAAATAAATTTTTTATTAATCTGGAACCAAATTCTAGATGTACCATGTTATGTTACAATAATTAACTTACCTTGTATTTTGTATCTATTATTTATACTTGAAAAATTGGAAACTATTGGCAAAAATGATACCGGTAGTTCATTTGTATAAGATATTTTACTGCATTGCTTACATTGCCCAACTATGCTTCATCGATCCAATTCCCCGTACCTTACGATGTGCCGAGAAATAAGGTCAGTAAAGAATACAGATAAAACATAACTACATAATCCTGGCCTTCCTCTCAACCTCTTTCTCACAGCCATTTTTCAAGTTTACGATTGACTCTGATCCTAATTTTGTTCAGGGACTAGTCCGTGCAATATCCTGACTACAGCCAGCAGTAACCTGACTAACAACAACGGGTTTCTATGCAAAACTTCCAACATCTGAGATTCATTTACAACACCTTGCCAACAAAAACAAGAGCCATCAGAAGACCTGTTGTGTTTACAAAGCTAATTTGATACAATTTATAATTTGATATCAAACCTTTCGACTGCATGCTGCTTGGACTTAAATAATGTTTTTAGAAGTTAAAAATATCAACTGTTTAATTTGATGAATTTCAATACTATATAAATATAAAAACTGTTTAATTTGGTGAATTTTATTATATATATAATACCTATAATTATCATTAAGAGTATGTTTGATTAAGTATAGAAGCAGCAGCTATTGTTATAGCAGCATTAATTTATAGCCCTCTTATTCTTTAATAATACCTCAGTTTCTCAAGTGACTTATGAAACTTTAGTACCTGAGGTGACTATAAAAACAAATACTGTAGATATGCTATAGCATCATACTTTATGGTCATAGTCTCAGTCCCTCATCAACCACAAATGACATCATCATTATACCATTAATTCAATTTCAAGACCACATTTTAACCAGCAAGAAGACCACTAATTAACATCTCCAGACATTAGGACAGATGGATGTATAAAAACTACCACTCTATTTCTTTTGGTTCACTGAATAGTTTCAGAGGGTGACTATACCCACACTATGCTCTAACAAACTCCTTTTGAAAACACTAAAAGTATTGCCTTTATAATCAGGTTGGACCTGTGTTTGGAGTTCAATGAAATCCACGCAAGTGTACAAGTTCAACATTTATTATTGTTATTTTCACATTAATTTGAAAATTTTACACTTATGCATTTGGGAATTATTAAAATTTGGTGGAATAAAAAGTAATTATTTGAAATCAGATAGTTTATTATTATTATGAATATTACCACATACAGATCTCCTTCTAATTAAAGATCCCTGAAAAAGACCACCCCCAATTAAAGACCACTTTTCTGTGGTCCCGAATTAAATGTCTTATTTTTATTGTTCTAATTAGAAACCAAAGCTGCTAAAAATCATGAAAGTCCAGTCCCAAAAGTGTCCTTAATTGGAGAAGACCTGTAATTATTTATATTAAATAACGTACCTGTCATAGGTGGCGGTGAACTGACTGGCGTTGACGGATTGGAAGGATAACTACTGTTGGTCTGTTCCGATGAATAGATCTGCAAGATTCAAAATAGAAGCTTCTATTATTATTAGTCATATTAAATAGGTTGTCATTTGTAAGTTTTATACAGAATGTATCATCAATTTATTTCCTTGCTAGGATTTAGACCTTCCCTTGCTAAGCAATTCAGCATTTATTTCAAGGACGTGTAGAGTAGTAGTATCAACCACATTTTTTAAATTCAACCACTATGTGAAACATAAAATAAAATTCTTCTGATGATAAATATGGTGATAACTTAGATGAACATATTTGTCACTGTATATTTGAATTGAATCCAAGAAAATACTATGCAAAATATTGGGGTTTTTCTTATATAGGAGAAAAATGATTAACATAAAAATTATCAAAAAAACAATTATAATGTTGCTAAATTGTTTATTGCACCTAGTTTTGGAAGAACATGCTTACCTAGTACTATTGTTTATGAAGGCTTATTCTTTAGAAATTAGCTATGCATTAAAGCTTTTGATTTTCCAAAATTAGGCTTTAAAACTGGCTACAAAGTATAGTGGAGGAAATATATTTTGCTATCTATAATAAGTTTGCTCTACAGTATCTCTATAACATCTTGGCCAATTCCTACCAAATGGCAATACATTCCTTTTTTTTTAAAATAATTTATAAACTACATAAAGATTAAAAAGAATAAATATATTAATTTTTATTAAATAATCCTATTGATAGACAATCAAATGGAGATCATGAATGTAGGCCTTTAAAAGTTTTAAGGTCGACAATATAATAAATTGATTGCCACTAACATAGTGCTGTAAGCTACGCAATGTCTTTCATCAAATGAAATGACAGCTGGTTGGAAGGCAAGAGCCCGGGGTGAGCATAGCATTGCAGAGTACAATATTGAGATCAATGAACCTTATTACAAACAAGAATTACTAATCTGATTAAATTCTATAATGATCCTTAAGATGAGAAAATGAGCAAAAGAACTACGTAGATCTCAAGGGGGCTGAGGCTTCAGGACAATAATAAAGGCTTCAACAGATTTTTAAACTAAATATGAAAGTTTATAATATATCTATTTTGACTTTAGGCTCATAACTCAAAAATTTACCCATCCATGATATTTGATCAGTATTCTTTAATCATAAATTTGAATCGCTTTTCATACATTTATTATGTGCATTAATTAAATTAAACCTGAATAATTTTGACTCAAAATTAAAGAATATTTATTTTATTGAAGGTTGCTAATTAAAAATCTTCAATTATATTTGAATGTTTAAAAAAAAAAATGCAATACTATGTTTGTTTGCAGTTAACTTTTAACATTTCATCATCTAAAGCTTTTGATTGTAAAGTAACCTGTGATTTTAAATTATAAACACCACAAAACAAAAAGTAAGGATTCCATGATTAGTACCCAAGAATATCGTGGTTGTCCGTAGCTTGGTAAAAACATGATGCTAGCTTCTGGACTACAGTCCTACTAATATAACTGGAAAATCAATTCTCCAAATTGAAGTACAAAAAAGATATTATCATAAAAGTAATAAAGTTATGAATCAGTATCTCTTCATCAAGATGTAAACAACTGTTTGCAGGAAATTAAGCAAGTTAACAAAAACTCAATACTCATCAATAAAGTATCAATACTCATCAATAAATGATCACTATCTATTAATGATTCAATCGTCAATCTGTTCATCTGAACATCTTCCAAATAATGAGTAGATAATGCTTTCATTGATATTCATTCTATCAATCTAAAAGGCAGATAGAATTGGATAAAATTCCTGGTTTGTCACTGTGGATGTTAATACAAATTGATGAAACTATTCCAAGACTTCCTAAGCAAGATGCCTCTGTTGTTGATGAGTCAGATTTAGAAGGAATACCAGCTTTGTCAGGTAGCAAGTGTGTCCAAATTATCGAGTTGAGTCAGAAGAGGGGGTATCTGCTGTACCTGTCCGTATTGATCAAGATGGTGCACTAAAGGTATCCCCTGTTTGATTTAACTTGTCATCACCATTGGCTCTGCCTCAATGGTTCTTGCATAACAAACAACCTATCAAAATGAGTCTAGTCTGCCTGCTGTGCTAAGACATCACCTATCCTGTGCCTTGTCTGTTTGGTCACTTACAAAGGATTCATCACTTCCGTGCTAGTAATCTCCCTCATTAGAATAAACAATCATCAGATAGATGTAGAAGTTGATGAGTATTGAATATCAGACCAGCAGAGAAATGGATGCTCACTTGAGTGTTTCTACCACTGACAGAAAAAAGTTCATGAGGTAAGCAAACTTCATGAAATTATCTTCACACGTGAACAATAGAAAGATGATCACGGCAAAGTCAGATGGAAATAATTTACAGTTTCCTGAAAATGCCTGAAGAAACTGGCAAACTAAATGCAAGGTTTTCACAAGTAAAAAAGAAGCTCATCTAAGATACACACAGTTCCTGTTTGAATCTTGAGTCATAAAACTCTTTCTCCTTCCACTGTAGGCTAGAACCAGGAGACCAATCAATTTCTACCATAACCAAAGTCAATGTAAATTGGATGTTACCATAGATAGCCTTCCTCCCTCTAATCTATGCAGGTATAAATAGTTTTTACAGGGGCATGAATGATGTTGTTGTAAGAGCTGTTGAGTGAATTACCAATAGACAAATCTAACTGGTCCTTCCATTGGCCTCCTCCCGAGTATTAATTTGGACTTCAGAAAATTACAACAGGGATGTCCTACTTACAATAGAAACAAAAAGAAACACAAGAAAATAATATACTTAGTTTTTTTCATTTATGATAATTTATAAACTAAAAATTAACTTTACTTATAAACAATTATTAAAATTAATAATAATTAATAAACTTAATAGAAGTCATATCAACAAGTATATCATTATTATATTTATTGTATGAATACATAAAATAAAAGGATTAACAAATTCAATATACATTCATATATATTTACTTTGGAATAATAAATCACATATTAGGAGAAAAACTATTAATTATATAAATATACATATGAAGAGATAATAAAGGATTTATATAGATAAGAAACACCCCCATATGTATAATGGATGTGGTCCAACTTTAAAACAACAGTTCAAAAGTTGGTTATAAGCATGTCTGGGTTTCTCATCATAATCCCATGATCACTAACAGCTCGCACTCAAGGGAATCATATTACAGCTACCAAATAAACTGCTCTACTATTGTAGCACAAATCCAGACCCTTTGTTTTCACTGTATAAAACTACAGTACAAAATAATAGACAATAATCAACTATACCATTAATTATCTTACTAAAATTACAGGCGTACATGAACTTCATGAAATAAATATACATTATTTTAATATGAATAGATTTCAAAATTGTTACAACATACAGCGATTACTACTTAATATGTTTATGTGAATAGAGTCTATTTTCAAGCAACAATTTATCCAAACCAACCTCAGCTGAAATATTTATAAAACAATAATGTCAATGTTCTTGACAAATTAAAATTGACACAGGGTATTGAACTCAACATCATTAACTCTTTCAATTGTATCAGTCTTCAACATCATTTGCATATCAATTTTAGAGTTTTAATGTTATCATTTTTAATTGTCTCTACATCATTTGCATGTTAGTTTTATCTAAATCCCAATACTGGCCCATTGTCATTTTTTATAGAGGATTATAGTGATAGTCCAATAAATTATTTATGGGTCATAATGAAAGTGCTTTTTGTCCAACAATTCTAAATCCAAATTGGTCATTCTTATTTCACTTTAGCATTTAGCATTGTTTACTACACACAATGAAGAAATTAAAATCTGATACAGACTTCGTCAAAAAGTTGGCCAACATAGCCATGGTATAACCACAAAGCAATTGACCAATAAGAATCAAGGAATAAAAAACAACCTGTTTCCACAATGCCGACTTCCATGCTTTCCACTACAGCATCCAGGAAACTCGAGAAAAAAAACAGGTTCACCTACCTGAGAACTGTATAACAAAATGTTTGATGCATCTAAAAAAAACAGCAACACATTCCAATATCACCCAATGTTTTCAGCACCTTGCAACTATACTAAAGAAACTGGAGATTTTTTTTCAAGTGGTGTTTTGTGTGGTTTAGAATAATAGTGTAAAAGTGGCAAGATTTAGAGGAAGTTCATTTGCCATTCTAGTTCAAATAAACTGTAACATTTATCTAGGGATTTCTAACTGAGGATGTTTTGCTCATTCTGTTTAAGTATGTATGACATATTACACCCAAGATCAAATCTTTACCTGTCACATACACCACAGAAATAATCTTTCAAATCTGGTTTTCATTACTCTATTATTTTAGTCAATATTTCCCATAAGATATGTTTCTAAATTCATGTTTGTCTCCTGGCAATAACATATAGATCGCAATCATAAAATTTAAATCAATTAGTATTAAAATACTGATATTAGCAAGATGAATATTATTAATAAGAATTTTCTTTAAAATTAACTTTCTAGTAAAACAGGTCTGTTTATACTGCCTAGGTATGAGAACATGGGAAAATATGGGTTACATAAATAACCCTTATAATTACTCGCCCAATTCCAGGGGAAATGCAATGGTTCGAGTCTGAATTTACTTCTACAATCTCTGCAGCAACCAAAAATGTATTTACAAACTAGAGAGTTCACTATATCGAATCGATTGTAATGATAATTTAACTGCTTTTCACAGTGTATGTTTTCCTATTAAATGACCGATGAAAAAAAACAAACTATAGTACATAACTATGGACAAAACTTAGTGCATAAACTATGAACATTACTACTATGAACATTACTATAATTCAGGGCAGGATTCCATGGCTACAGCCAGAAGAATGCAGAGTGGCAAAATTCCAACTTTTTTTTTTAATTGTTAGGATGATGGCTTCTTAACAGCTGTAATAATTATTACCTTTTTTAAAGTGATTTCATACACACAAATCATATAAAATCAGCAGACACAAACACAGATGTAGTGAAAAACTTA